CCAGAGGGCCCCATGAACATACTTCTTGGTCCTGAGAGGGCAGGAATGCATGAGTTTCTTCAGTAACACTCATATGCACAGGAAATGACTATTGACATAATCTATAAGCCTAATAGTTAAGATTATTCTTCAGTTTATAATTTAAAAGCTTCTGACAGCTAAATGCTATAGTATAATTTATAATTAAAGAGTTTGAGTGATTGGGGTATATTTCACTGAGCTGGTCTCTCTCATGAGTTGAAACTAAGACTTGTGTAAACATGGGAAGGGAAGCCTTCCCCAGGTTTTTGCAGTTAGGCAAGAATACTTAATGTCCCTCATTCCCAACTGTGGTGCAGTTATCATCCAGGCCACACTCAAAGTTTACAGGAAACAAATCTATAGGATTTAAAGGGCATTTTTTTTTTCAGTAAAACAGTCCCATGTAAGACCACTATCTACCAGTATGTAATAAAAGTACACATTAATTTCTTTGAGATATACAAGTTTATATTTCCTTAGTGCTCCTTTAAAAATTTGGAATCTTAGCTTTTGGATATTTTTTAAGTTATGGTAATAACAAAATCTAAAAAATTAAAAAGTGTGTACCATGAAGAAAGACAGTAGTAGTATACCAAGTCATTTGAAACTTTGAGGCTGGAAAACTGTAGATGTCATATCTTAGCAATGATTAAAAAAAAAAGAATATCTCCAAATTAAGACAGAATCTGTCAGTTCTGGAAGAGACCAAGTTCATAGATTTTCAAATAAAATACATGATTGTTATCATCTGCTAATAATTTATATGTATTAGTAAAGAACATTTAGATTAAGCCATCCTCTCAAAATAAGATATCTAATATGTAAATTTGGATCAAAGCAATCTGATTTATTGGGTTGGACAAAAAGTTTGTGGATTATTTTCCCCATAAGATGGCTGTAGTAGCACTTAGTTGTCTTTAACTTCATTTGAAACAATTTTGTTAGACTGTATTGTGACGGCTGTCATATCAGCATGCATTTAAAAACATCAAAATTGGTGAATTTTTGTGTAGCCATTTTAAAATTGAAGATGGAAGAAAATAAGCAACATTTTCAACACATTATACTTTATTATTTCAAGAAAGGTAAAAACACAACTAAAACACACATAAAATTTTTTTGCAGTGTATGGAGAAGGTGCTGTGACTCATTGAATGTGTCAAAAGTGGTTTGCAAAGTTTCGTGCTGGAAATTTCTCACTGGGCAGGTGTTCCATGGTCTCGTAGACCTGTTGAAGTTGATAGGGATCAAATGGAGACATTAAATTAGAACAAGCAATGTTATACCATGCAGGAGATAGATGACATACTCAAAATACCAAAATCAATAAAGTTATTGGTGAAAGTGAAATGTGTCTTTTATTTTATGGAAAAAACTAAACAGATTTTTTGGCCAACCCAATATAATTTCTTCTCCCTGTCAGATAAGAATATGAGTTTATATAATGCCAATAAGCAGCTTGTCTTATAATGATGCTAAATACAATTCATGTGTTGCTTTCTAAGGGAATCATGTTGGCCACTGTGGAGATGTCTTTATTGGCTTATTTCCTTAGAATGGCATTATGATTCACTGAGAATGAAAGAAAAGATTAAATAACATGCTGGAAAATATAGAATTACCTCTGCCTATTCCAGAGAGGGGGGGGAGGGAGGGAGAGAGAGTACTAACAACCTTACTGGAGCCTGAGTACTTTCTTTTTAATTGACAATAACTGGTTAGTTGCTTTCATGAATATAAAATGAGGCCTTGTGAGAGAAAGAGAAATTGAGTAATTTAACATAAAAAGCAATTTCAACTAAGGTAATTACTGTGCATTTCAGTAAGGTCAGTTAGCATTTTTCTTCCCACCGTTTCTTCTAAGTTTAAACAGTCTCCATGAATAGATAAGATCAATGTTAAGGATATCTGCTATCTACATACAGATTGAAGTTTTGGGGTCCTAAAAGCCTTATAAAAATGCAGAACCACTCTTTTTATTACCAAGTAGTGTGTGAACAGATATCCCTAACTTTATCCCAGACACCTACCTCCACTGTAGGATTTTTATTTTCCACTTCATTCCTTTTACTGATTTTATTTTTTTAAGAGGGGTATGTATATGCCCTGGCTGGGTGGCCAGTTGGTCGGAGCGTTGTCCCATGCACCAAAAGGTTGCAGGTTCCATCTCTGGTCAGAGCACATACCTAGGTTGTGTGTTTGATCTGGCACGTATGGGGGGCAACCAATCGATGTTTCTTTCTCACACTGATGTTTCTATTTTCCCTTCCTCTCTTTCTAAAAACCCATGAACATTTCCTTAGGTGAGGATTTTTTAAAAAGGAGGTATGTATATACTTTTAAGATAGCTTACTGATGTATAATTGGCATATAATAAACTTCACTGTATTTTTATAATCAGAAAAAGAAACACTACCTTAAAAGTCCGTTAGACCTTATGCCTCTAAAAAGGCATTTCCTTCTCTCCCTAAATTATCATTATAGAGGAATTTAAGTGAATGTCTTATCACTGAAAGAGCTGAGATAACTGACAGAGATTTAACTGAGGGTTCCCCTTGTAGATTATGGAATAATATTTTGATCCAAATATACCCCCTTCCCAGTCTAAATACACACTCCATTAAGGACGGTATGGTGAAGAAGCTAATGCTAAGTAGGTATCTACTAGAAAGATTTTAAAATGTTCCTTAGGTATTTGTTAATAGCTACAGAGACAGATACAAATTTAACAGACTAAATTAATTTTCAGATTAGCACTTTATTTTATTTTAGTGATATTCCTTATCCTGACCATGCACCATTAATTAAAACAGCATGCTCCCTTGAACTTTTGGGTGAAAACATGCAATTTCTCCTCTGAGATTTTCCAACCTACCAAAATCTGTTAACATATTTAGCAATTCACTAAAAAGTTATGAAAACCTATGACAGAAATATACTTCTTTGGCATTAAAACATTTATAACTAGACAAGAAGAAATAAAAAGACAAAGTAACTATTTCACAGGATGACTTAGAAAAGTCTGATAATTGAACAAAAGTCAGCTTTTTCCCAATTAAGTGCTTTAAAAACTGTCACCAAAGAGATCATTAGCAAGAAGACCATTTTTCTGAAATTCCTGCTATCAGATTTAGTGTTTACAGTTCATTTTCAGGTATCTTTAAAGAAGTTGTGATTTCATTCCTTAAGATAGAAGATTATTCTTAGCACTTCTTATGCCAGTAATTTATAATAGTAAATGGCTGAATCCATTTCTCATTTTACTTTTTAATCCCTTTCAACGTCATGAGTAAATATATTCACAAGTGTTTAAATATACAAATATTTTTGCTACATATTAGTACGTACAAAGCTTTGATTACATCTATTTTAAAGACATGCTTCTATCACATTACAAGCAAATATTCACATTAAAACAATAAAAATATCAAACTGTCAGATGTGAACCAAAACATACTCATTCATGTTCAGCTGAATCAACTGAATGATAGTTTTTGCCTTCAGATGGTCTTTTATTTCATTTCACTGCCAAAAGCTGGAAGAAAACTGAGATGAGAAGAAAATAAAGTGGTGGTTCCACTACAGTATTAATGCAACCAAGCCAATTAATATGCCTTTCTATTTGATAATCTTTAATCAAATTCAGCAACTTTAAAATAAGGTCACTGACAAATAAATGCATGTTACAGTTGGAAAGTGAAACAATAAGAGACTGAGGGAAAAAACAAGAAAGGGAAATAAAAAGAAATGTAAGTCAACAAAGACATGACAAAAGAGACTGAGTTTCATTTTGTTTTTTAGGTATTTCTATTGTACTCTGTTTTGAGATTCAGTATGTTCCTTGAACAACATCTCTGCTTCACAGCTCTAAGCCCCAAGAACCTGTAGAAAACTGAAGCCATTAGTGCAATCCTTTGGCACCTGACATAGAGTGTGGAGGGAGAGGCCCAGAGCAGAGGGCCTTCCCTGGTTCTAGGATCAGATCTGACCTGATGTATCTCAGGATGGTCCCTTGGTGTCCTTTGGCCCCCTTGAGGTATAGATTAGTGCCAGAATTCCCAAAACAGACAGGATTTCTCCCATTTCATAATGGCCAAGTAGGTAGACTGTGAACAACTCATGAGGGTAGGAGCCTGGCCAAAGCTGTGACTGAGAATCACCGGGGCTCACTCTCTTTAGGGTGGCTGCAGCCACACCTGCTAGTCCAGGACCTGAAAGAGAGTGGGTGCACATGGGGTGACCAGGGAGGCGGGTGACAAACCATGCTGCCCAGTGACACCTGTCTGCAGCTGTTCACACTGGGATGCAGGGGTTCCAGATGCCTTCCACAATTTGGAAACGTAATTAGACATAACCCTCTAGGATGGTGGGTAAGCCAGTCCTATGAGGCAAACCATTTCTAATACTCCAATCAAGCTTTCTAAGAGGAAAAAATAACTAGTTATAGAGGTTACTGCATCATCATATTACCTCAGCAGTCTTTTCACACATATTCAGCTGAAACTGAATAAATGATCTCACACCTTCCAACTGAAATGGCTCCTTAGACCAACTTTAAGCATAGACTGGTTTTTACAAAAATGGAATATTGGTGTATTACAAACACAGCTTTTATTTTTTTTAACTAGGAATACTATCAATAGATATCAGCTTTTTTTATTTGTAATAAACACACTACAGAAAGTGTGTGCGTTCTATGAGTTTTCTGCCCTGGCTGCTGTGGCTCAGTTGATTGAGCACCGACCTGCGAACCAAAGAACCAGAAAGTGTGTGCATTCTGCGGATATACAATTTTTTGCTTTTGTGTGTCTTTTTTTTTTCCAGTAGTTTCTCCTGTTGTATATAGTAGAGACTATCTCTCACACTGAATAGATAAGTTGTGTGTTTTATACAAGATCATTTCATTCCACATTTATGTAGACTGGACAAATACATCTGAAAACCTAACTGTGCATTCATATATAAACTTTCAGAAATGATGTTTGTTATGTCTGATGTAATAAATATAGAATTATTTCATATTATTTAAAAACAATAGACACGACTTTCAGCACCCATCAGGGGACAGCCTAAGGTTGTGAGTCTGCTGGAATGTTGCCAGGATTTGCTTTATCTCCAGAGACAGAATGCTTCAGAAACTGACCAGTAGCACCAATGTATAATCTTGATCGCATGGGCCATTTCTGAAAAAGAATATTTAAATAAGAATACAAAAGTTAGTATCTATGATATATACAAGATAATCTGTAATAATAATTCCAAATAACCTCAGTGCAAATGCAATCTTATGTAGCTAATAACAATTGTAATTTTGAAGTCTAAGGGACAATATGAAAAAATACTTATTAATGCTAACTATAAAAATAAAAATATAACTTGACTTTGATTATAACTATAAAATAATATGTGTGCATATGAGCAAGAAATAGAGAATGAATGTAGTTAAGTGGAGTAAAATATATCTACCCACAATGTTTTAATTTCCAATTAAATCCAAAACAAAAGCCTAAAACAAGATCCTTGGCTTTACAGATTTTTTTAAAAGTTATACATGGTAGGTGTTATGTGTCTATACTTGTCAAAGAACAACACTGAGAAGTGACTAATTCAATTATCTAAACATTTGATCTAGCTAAAAGCAATATCCGGGTAGTTACAAATATTAGAACATTCAGATTAAATGTCTGGATATATTGCCATGACACAGCTCTAATCTTTCAGTTATTACCATATTTGTATTCTGTGACTTTTTCTAAATTCATCTTTAAAATGAAGAACCTCTCAAACAATATAATTTATTGTCAAATAGGTATAGTAATGGAAAAGTATATTACATCACTAGCTTTTTCAGGATAGACCTTTCCTTTTTGGAGGGTGGTGTCATGTAATTAGTTTAGTTCTAAGGTCCTTGGAATACTAAGGGTTACAGTACCTTTAGTTAATCAGAAAGTACAAATTATCAGAATATTTTTATTTGCATTAGATTAATCAAAGATAGATTAATATTTAAGCATTTTTGGTAGTGCCTATAAAATAATGTGTTATAGATGGTTTCAATTTGTATATAAAATCTTTTTCCTATGAACCTGCACAGCACATGGTTATAGCTCTCTTATGGCACATACAACATTCTCCTTTGTGTATTTTTGTCTTTGTCTATCCTGTGTTCATTTAGGGCAGGGACTGAGTCTTACCCTTAACTGTATTTACTCTGCTAACACAGTGCTTTGCACATAATAGCCGCTTAGTAAATGATTTTAAAACAGTCTAGTCACTTGTTCAACCATCATCAATTTCATTAACAGGTACAGGAACAAGTATAAAGGACACATGGACAAAAACTGGGGGGAGGGGTGGAAATGGCAGGGAGGTGGAGAGGGATGGGTAGGTGGGCTGGGATGGGAGTAAAAGACAGAAAACTGTACTTGAACAAAAATTAAAATAAAATTAAAAAATAAAATGCTAATGAAAGAAAAAAAAGGAGGTAATCCTTGATTTCATTTCATTATCCCTGGGGTTGCCTTTTAAAATCAAAATAATCAATCCAGAGGACAAATGAGATTTAGTTTTTCTTCAAGAGTTATAGGACTACAAAAGCACTTGGTACATGAATCAAGGGCAAAAAAAAAGTATTACATTTATTGTTACCCCAAAATTACAGTTCTAACATTATTCAAAAAAGCAGTGTGAGAAACTAAGGTGAAAAACAATTTGATTTCTCATCTGAATTATATCTCTGACAAAGAGGCATTTAACAGATGCTTTTTGTAGTAGTCTACTTCAAATAATATTTGAATACCAAACTAATGCACACTGTAATACAAACCCCTTATTTAATAATGACTTTTCAGCTGAGATTGTTAAACAGGGGGAGAAAAAGTCAGTTGACAGTTGTGAGTATGCAAAACAATTTATTCTTGTATTGTTTATTAATTATCGTACTATTTTCCATATGAACAACTTTAACCCTCTTTTGCTCCAACCTGTATATAACACATGAATGGAATAGGAACTTCACTAATTATAAATAATGTTTTAGATTTAATATTTAAAATAGGGTAAGACTATAATCATGTTGATTATATTTGCAAAGTAAATTTTGTTAAACTTCACAGAATTTTAAGTTTAGTTAATATTGGACAGTGTACTTTTTACCACATTTCAATAATGATTATTCAATAATTTATTGAATACTGATATACTTAAGGCTAATTCACAATTTCATGTGTTTGTGGCCAAATGCTTCATAATGGTGGAACCAATTCTGAAATATGGTTTAGGAAATATGGGGAAGATGACATTCCTGAACAGAAAGCCAGATCAAAGTAGAATTTCAAAACAAGTCTAGGAGAAAGGACAATGCAGAGTCTAAGTAGTAACCAATGTACCTGTATGTAATGTAAAAAAATTATACAAAAACGGATTCTCTTGGCTAATTTTGTACCTTACAGGATTTGAATATAGTATTTAATCAGCTCACTCAACATATATATGAATTTATTGTAAAAATTACATAAACACATTATAGTTTTTCTACCACTCTCGGTGGCTGTCTAGTCCATGCTAATTAAACTTTATTAAAATGTGCTGAAATTTACTCCGTGGGAATGCAAAGTGATCTCATTTTGTTCTTACCAGTTTTACAAAAAAAATTCAATACTAGTTGCCTAGGATTACTTAAGGACAGATAATTCCATTGCCCCATATTTCATGAATATTTAATTCATGAAACTTTTCAAACAGCTGGTAAAGACGACAATGGAAATGTAATTGTGTAAATTAAAAACTTTTAAAAGCCCAAAGGCTTGCCATGGCAGGTGTGGCTAAATTGGTTGGAGAGCCCTCCAGTAAGCTGGAAATTGGAAGGGTGAGGGTTCAGTTTCTGGTCAGGGAACTCGCCTAAATTTCATCCCCGTTTGGAAGCCACATGAAAAGCAACCAATCCATGTTTGTCTCATATCGATGTTTTTCCTCCCTCCCTCCCTCTCTTCCTTCCCTTCTCTCTAAAATCAATAAGAAAACAAAACAAAACAAAACAAAAACCTCTGATACTAAAAATTACCAGGATGTGCAACCAAGCACCTTACCAGGCACCCCCGAGAAATCTCTTACCTGGCAACGGCCTCTTGTAGGCTGCATCCTCTAAGGAGCATAAGACATCCCTACCCAGCCACCCCAGGCTGAAACCCACTACCTGTGAACGGTTAAGGAGAGCCCTTTTGCAGTGGGGACCTCGCGGGCCAACTTCCCTATGCCGGTCTGTTCCCTGCCTCACCCCAAGGGAGGAGTGAAAGCTCGGTGTCGCGAGCAGATGCTCTGGTGCTGGCAGACCCCGCAATTCGAGGTGCCTGTTCCCCGCCCCAGTTCCGCAGTGCGCCCTGCCCACCTACCTTGACCGGGTGCAGGTAGCCGTCGCCGCGCAGGGCGCCCAGCCCAGGGTCCGCCGGCGCCTCGGCGTCGTCCTGCAGGCTGCGGGTAAGGTGCGCGATGTAGGTGGTAGCCAGCAGCAGCACGTCCAGCTTGGACAGTTTGGTGTCCGGAGGAACGGACGGCAGCGTGCGCTGCAGCTCCAGGAAGGCGTGCCGCAGAGTCTGAACTCGGCTGCGCTCCCTCGCTGCGTTCGCTGCAGCGGGCCGTCCGCCCCCCGAGCGCCCACCGCCTCCCGCTCCCGTCGGCCCTGACCCTGTCCGCCCGGGGCTCGATTCTCGAGTGGCGGCGGCAATGGTGGTGGGCTCGGCGCTGGCGATGAGGGGGCTGCCTGCGGGGCCGCAGCGGTCCATGGCGACGTCTCGCGCCGTGCGCCCTGCTAAGGACCGGAGGCGCAGTGAGGCTGGGGACCCGGTCGAGCGCGACCGGAGGAGGCGCAGCCCTTCGCTACTCCTGTGCGCCCGCTCGGCCGCCCAAAGTACTCAGCAAGTTCTTAGAATTTGCTTCGATTGGAACGCGTTTGCCTCCCCGCGTCTCGGGAGACTTTGGGGTCTGAGAGTTCCTGGGCTCTTTAGAAAGCCGAGGAGGGGGGCCGTGCGGGCTCCACGTTTCACCGACAAATTAAGCGAAAGCGCTTCCCTGCGGGGAATGGAAGCTCCTTTTCGGAAACTGTTGGCGCTTCTGGAATGTTACCCTGCCAGTCCCGCAGTAAAGGTGGTGCTGACCATTTTTGCGGAGCGTGGTACCCACGCCCGTCGCCCCTCGTACCATTTGCTACCGAGGCTCGGGACACGGGAGACAATGGCAGGAGCCCACGGTAACTTCCGTGGCAGGAGTGGAGGACCCCTGGCCTCACCTCGAACTAAGGAACCCGCTAGCCTCCGGGTCCGGGAGTGAGCCGCGCGGCAGGGGTCGGACCCGGGCCCTCACCTTTCCCCAGGCGACCGTGTGGGGCTTTGCTCAGTTGCGCAAGCAGGCGAGGAGCGTCGAGTTGGGTGTGCGTGGCCAGGGCCGCGCCGGTCACTCCATTCTCGCCCAACCGAAGTCGACGGCCGCTTCCAGCCCCGGGTGGGCGCGCCTTTTATGCGAGCGTCCCCGAGGCCTGGCGTGCGTGCGGGCCAAACTCGGTTTTCGGCCAGGACCTGTCGAGGTCCGCGCCCACCTGGGATGCTGCCCGGGGCGGCGGGGTGGGGTGGCCTTGTTAAGGCTGAGCTACCTCCTCAGCCGCCCGTGAGCATTAATCAAACCGTCCGGCGGGACGGGGCGGGGCCAGAGGGGGCGGGACCTCCTGCTGGCCCCACCCCCGCGCGACCGCTCTCTCCTTCGGCGGGACTCTCTGGAGCTCCAAGTTCCGCGCCTGCGGCGTGGGTGGCCAGAGGGGACGCGGCCGGAGTCTGGGCTGTCGGACTTCAGTGCGGCTTGAGAGTCCACAGGGTGATGAGCCCCGGCGCCTGTAAGACGAGCACAGAGCTGAGGCGGGAACTCTGTCGTTTTGTGGAGCGTGACCTTCAATTTTCTGTGCGGCAGTGTAGAGTGTGCTGCTTCGCTGCGTTAGGCTTTTGTTTGTCCACGAGGTAAATGCTTCTCGTTGTCCTAAGTACTTAAAGCACCGGTCCCTCCACCTTGGTACTCCGTGACCGGTGAGTGAGCCGCGCAGAATATGAACCGCTCTTCCCTCGAACGCTCCAGCCGTCAGTGAAACAAGGAAATTCCCCAAACCTGAGTAGGCGGCCCTGGGTCTGCGGTCGCTTCTTCCCGGCGTGCGGACCCTTGACCGGCCATCCGATGCCCCTGCCCGGCTCAGCTTGTGTCGTTATTCGGCCGGAAAATTCGTCCTGGCCACATCCCCCTGCGGGGAACTAGCTGAGGTGTCTTCCAGTGGGGGGCCCGCGGGAAGCGTGGCTGGGCCCTGGGCTGTGAGGGGCCCCACCCGTCCAGGCGCCTTGAGGCCCGCAGCGCCCCAGCCCTCCGCGGACCGCACGCGCCCGGGACCCCTCGCCTCCAGAGGCGAAGTCTGAGGGGACGCGCAAGATTTTCTAGCAACTAATTACTAATTAGTATATCCTTGAAACAGTACCTACAATTCGAAAGGCAGGACATTTAAAAATCTTACTTGGGGTCAAGACGGAATAACAAATTTATGATATTCATAAAACTGCTCTTGTATATGCGACATTATTTCATACTTTACAACAGATTTTCAAATTGGAACTACCAAATACTACATAGTAATGATGGCATTTGAGTATATCTTCGTTCCACACTTCAGTATATTAGCGAATCAGAATAGTCCTCAGGCTTTTATGTCAATTCCCATTCAATAACCGCAATTAGATTTACACTTTAGAAGCACACAAAACCATTGATTCGAAAACAGTTTACTTTCTAATGAATGAAATAGCACATCTTTATTTTTCCCAGTAAATAATATGTAATGAATAAAGCAATTGGAAAGCAATGTTTCAGACTGAAGAAGCAAATCAAACAAGAACTTAAAGGTTTTTCTCATATAATGAACACAGATACCATAAAAGATACAGACCATAAAAGATGATGTTGCCTAGTTCGATAAGGGTGAAAAAATCAAACGTTTCAGACTTCTTAAGGCTGAGATGACTCATTTGTGACAAATTTTCTTTTACTTTTGGGTTATGGAGACAGGTTCATATACATTATTTTTTGTCACAACCTTTCAGATTTTTTCAGATTCCTTCAAAGAGAGATTCCTGTTAATAGAAGGGGTGGGGGTGAGGGGAACCAGCATTAAATTATTTCAAAAACAGTTATCCGAAACAGGTAATAAACATACAATCTAGGACTCAATAGCAGCAGTATAAAGCTAATGATTAGACACCAAACTGTGTAAATCTTTTCAGAATTTAAAGGAAGCAGAAACAGATTTTTCACTCAGCTCCCCGGCTCTGTGCCTAGAAGTCCTTCAATTTTGCACCCTTGGCATCTCACATCCTCACCCTAATCTAACTCTATGAGGTGGAGTGGTGGAGGGGGTACAACGGAGGGAGGCTAACAATGGCTGGTCCATGGCCAGCTGTGTTGCCCAAGTCAGGTTCCAAAGAAAGGAGTGATTTAACAAGTACAAGCACTGCCCACCACCCCCTTGTCCTATCTGCTACCAATCCAAGTAGGCTCTCTGAATCCTGTGATGATTCTAGATTTGTCCTAACTCTTGCAAGAAACCAGTATTTGCAGTTAAATTAAAAACAAGTGAAAATCTTCACATTTTCAACATTATGTAAATTAGTAACATAACATATTTAACTCTTTATATTTGCTAAGTGCAAACCCTTTGAGGATTTGACATTTTACAGTTGAGGAAATAAAGCTCAGAGAGATTACGTAATTTGTCCAAGTTCAAATGGCTAGTAAGTGGCAGAGACAAGATTTAAGCCAAGCAGACTGATCCTATTGCTTGCTGGTGGTTGTTTTTTTTTTTTTAACCATACTATTCTATTTAATATTTGTAGAGTTCTTCGCAATCTGCAAAACACTTTTCAAATCTATTATCTCAATAAAGGACATACTTTTAACTTGACTCCTTATTAACAATCCAGATACTATTTTCAAAGTATATCATTCTTGTCTAGGTTCCCAGAAAGTACATGGCTTTAGTGTGCTATAAATTTCACAGGTCTTAAAATTATATTTGTCCCTTTTTCTAAATATGTCAAATTATTTGCCATCTTAACTCATTGTCTTTATAATGTAAAATAATCAAACAGCAGTGAAGAAAATATATTGCTTAGTTGTATATATGTATACATATTATAACACAAAAGGTTTTATATAATTAGCACTTTTTCACCTTTCAATTATTTCCCTCATTATTTAAGATATAATTTAAGTAGTTAAATTCACCCTTTGGAGTATATAGTTCAGTAAGTTTTGATAAGCATGTACAGTCATGTAACCACTACTACAATAAAGTTTTGTAATATTCTTCCCCACCCCACACCTCAAATTCCCTTGTGCTGATCCTTTGTAGTCAACCCCTAGTCCTTGGGAAGTACTGTTTTCTGCCTCTATGGTTTTGCCTTTGCCAGAATGTCCTAGAGTCATACAGTATGTAGCCTTTAAGTCTGGCTTCTTGTGTGGGTATAGGTCCATTTCACCTCAGAAAATACCTAGGAGTAGGACTGCTAGATGTGGGAAGTATATGTTTAACTTTATAGGAATTTGTCAAACTATTTTCCAAAGTGGCTGTACTATTTTTGCATGCCCACCAGTAGTGCCTGAGACCTCTAGTTGTTCCATATCCCCACTAGCATTACCAGATTTTTTCTTTGTATCTATTTTAATAGCATTTTAAAGAAAAAATTGATCCAATATTTTAAAATCAGATGATTTCACATTCTAGATATTTTGCTTGCCAGCTGGCCTCATTTCTCAAATTCAGCACATCTGCTTGGCTACATTGTTTTAGAGCCAAGTACCCACAGCTGCCTTTAGTCAGACATGTGCTCTCCAATTCACCACCTCCTTAGTCTCATCCTCCTTACTTGAACCTACCTGAGGGTGTTTTTGAGACCCCCCTAGCAGAGTAGTTGAGATCTTGGCTTTTGGATTCAAGTCCCAGCTCTGCCTCACAGCCATAATGTCACTTTGGGCTCTTCTGACTGGGCCTCTCCATGGCAAATTCACTTCCCCATCTATAAAATGGGCTGATAGTATTCTCATCTCAAAGGGCTCTACTGTTTTTAAAAATTTGAGTAATGAAGATTCAGCTTTCAAAGTAGACATTTTAGAATGGAAAATACCATTCTCATAAATTAGATCTTAACATTACTCTTGTTCATAGAGTAAGCCATTGACAGAGTGGAGACTAGAAGTCACAAAAGCTACCTAAGATTGTTTTTAAAAACTTTGTTGCTTACCACAATTGCTTTTTCTTTTTTTGAAAGGTGCTGTGTCCTAATATCAAAAGGGTTCTTTGGGAACTGCAAATCAAAATCTTAACATTATACCTACAGTACTGATATATGTATATGTTTATTTTGCCTATAAAATTAGACTGAGTTTGGGTTTAACACAGCAAAATTAAAAGCATTTGCATAAGATCATCCCAGCGTTAGTGACTAAAAATATTTGCTAAGTTTTAAAAATTCTTGAAGCACATAGGAGACCTGTTGTTACAACTATTCAAACGTACCCTTAACAGTGGTGAAAGCAAGTTATTTTTACTGTTTTTAAAGTTCACTTTTCAAAAGTAAAAACATGAACAAACTAAACATAGATACAGAAAAATGGATAGTTGCCAGAGGGTTGGGCAGTGGGGGTATGGGCAAAAAGGTGAAGGGGATTAAGAGGTACAAACTTATAAGTCACAGGGATGTAAAGTACAGCACAGGGAATATCAGTAATATTAGAATAACTTTGTACGGTGACAGATGGATAGTGGACTTTTTGTGATCGCTTTGTTACACACCTGAAAGTAATATAATATTGTGTGTCAACTGTGCTTTAATTAAAAAGAGTTTCACATTCCAGAATAAAACTTAGACATAAAAAAGTCACTTTTTAACTCAAAGAAATCTAATGCTTCCATATTCTAACTAAAGATAGTAAGTATTTTATAAATGGTTAAACAACATTCAATGAACATTTCCTGTGAATTATGGGTCCCAGAGATTCACATTTCTTAAAGGTTTCTGAAACTAAGGGCATTCTAACCCTGCTGGAAAGTTATTTTTGCGTTAACAAAAAAGATGATTTGACTGTATTGATACTGCTTAGGCTTGAAAGATAGTTAAATAATTAAGTATCAGTTTGGTTTTTTCACTGCACAGTGCTCCACAGTATTCTCAGTGGATCTTATTTATAATATATAAATGCATTTAATGTCTATTTTTAAATTACTAAAGCTCAAGCAACTCCTAACATATTTGAAAAGAGAGGAAACATCTGTGACAAACACAGAAAGAAGCAATGTGTACATTTTTTTGTTTAGTACCATATATTAGTTTTAATTGAACCATGAAGGTATTTGTTCAGAATCAGCCTTTCAATAAAAAATAGTTCTGAACTAATTTTTAATTAATGTGTACATTGATAGTATCAAGTTCAGTTTGAGGGTCAAAAACAACGTCAGTGAGTCTGACTTTTTCCTCCCTGTAGGGAAAGCAGGCTTGTGTAAATATACATGAGCACAGACTGCATGCATTTATAAAGGAGGTGGAAAACATTCCCCTGTCATTGGACAGATGTTTCTTCACTGGGTTCCACAAGGATACAGGCCCAGCTCCCCATGTGTGGAATCTTGAAGGAGTGTGAGGCACATACTTTTAGCATTTTGGAAGAAGCCCTGTAAGCTCCTTTCCACCTCTGAGCAGACTCCCCACTTTGAATAGTAAATGCAGACCTTAGGCCACTCGTCCACTGATTCTCCCCCTGAAGGTAATTAAGGGAAGGAGTTGCTTTAATCAGCTTTTTAGAAACTGAAACTCTGTTCTTTGTGTTTGGTCCGGGTATTTTGTTTTAACATTTTGCTGACATGCTAGCTTTATGCTCAGTATCTCTTAGCTTTATTAAATTAGTAAAATGTTACCAATAGGCACACCCTAAAAATCTATATCCATTCAACTTAATCCAAAATCTTAATCCAAAAATCTTAATCTTCAGTTAATCTTAAGAGCTTAATTAAGTTCCATCATGTATTTGGTCACCTTTTATATCAAAGAGAGGTAGAACTGATATTCCCACTCACTAAGACAAATCTTTTGCACTAATAAAACAATATTTTGGCATGTCCTCAGTAAAAATGTCTCCTGAGGAAATAAATATTTAAAACAAAGTATTTATGTAATATTTTTTCACATTATAGAACTGGAAGACTCAGGATTGCACATAATCAAGCTCACTGACAGTAGCAGAAGGGCATTTCTTCATACTTTTCTCACAGGAACCGCTCTATTCTGCTGGCTTCTGTTGGGGTAGCCTCTCTTAGCAGTACATAGTAGTTAAAAATGCATTCAGCTCTGTATTTATAGTTAGGAAAATTCTGATAGAGTGGTTTATTTGCTCTTTTCATCAGTGCAGTCTAGTGATTAGAGCTTTGCTTGGGGCTATAGAATATGTGGTCTACTAAGATCACAACTGATCTTAGTGTATGCGGTGATGTATAGAATTTACCAACATTGTTTTCTGAGGCTGTGTCTATTTGTATTATTTTTCTGTCTTGATGATATATTAGCAAGACCTTTCAAAATGCTTGGCAAGAAACAGAACACTGTTGTGGAATTGACACCAGTTGTGTAAATCTTTAAGAAACTGTTGGGGTGCTGTGGACAAACTAGCCAAGATTTCAGTGGTAATCACAATGGACATAAGCAGTAAAGAAAAATTTCACACAGCTTCCAACTTTTCTGCATGTCTGTGTGGGTAGAGAGGAAGCAAGACCAAAACTAGGACTCCTTTCTCCTCTCTCCAAATAAAGCATTTTCCAGACTCGCAGGAACCTCTCTCCCTCAAGCTTCCATCCAGGTTAACCCAAGCCAATCTTTAGGGAATAGAGGTCAGATAGTGCAGCATTGTTGTTTATGGGTCTTCTTCAGGAGGCTCCATTAAGGAATGCTAAGTCATCATCCCTAGATTGGACCCAGCAAAGAGGCTCTCATGACAAACCCACCTGACCTTCAGCACACAGTTCTTGAAAAAGGAAATCTATTCCAAAGTATGTCCACTGCCTCTGATTACTTTCTCAATGAAATATGCTATTGCCTTTAATTATATCATAATGACTACTATTGGAAAGATCAATAGAGCAATCGTTTTTTATTATAAGTAAAAAAAAGTTGAATGGATTATTTATAGGATGTATTAGGATCATTTTCTAATGCCCTTAGCATTTATTACACTGTGCAGTAATTATATCACATATGACTCCCCAATTAGCTTGTTGAAAGATCTTTGAGATTAGGACACCTCATTTCAGTTTTTATATTCAGCATTGCTGACATATAGCAGGTACTTATTAGTTTTATGAATAAATGAAATTATTTTATGTTATGGTTTCTCTTTATATCAAAACAGTATCATCTTTTAAAATGTTGGAAGTAATTTTCTTCTCATCAGGAGACTTATAGCTGATTCATATGGAACTAAATTATGTATATACTCAAGGTTTAGAGCAGTGATTATTAAACTATTTTTTTTTGGATTGTAAGCCCCTTTGAGGATCTAATGAACTTCTAATGTCTCCCTCAGGGGCACCAGATAAGAATCTTTGGTCTGGAGAAGCAGAGAAAGTAGCCAGACTCTAGTGCTCCAGGCTTCCCCTCCTGTGTGCCACCTGCCCTTGCTGTAGTCATCTCCTCACCTGGTGGACTACCCATCATCAGCTGGGCCTCAGGCTTATTCAATATGACCCCTGCTCATTCACACATCTTTTTCTGCTGCTCCAGGACAGTCCTGAGTCACCTGCTGTATCCCAATGTCTGGTCTAGTGACTCCCAACTCTTTCTGAAGCAACTCTTCCACCTCAACTTAGTTATTGTTCGGGCAGACCAACAATGAACTTTTTGGGGGAGAGGGAGAGTGTGCTTGGCTATGAAGAATTGAGAACAGAGAACTAGGAGAGACAAAGGAATGGCCTCTCTTCCTCTGCGTTGTTGACAGGGTGTCCCATCCTCCCCCAAAAGGTAACTGCACAAATACTTGAAAGAACCTACCCGGCCTCTTCAATAATTTTAGGGTAATCATCTTGGGAGCTTTCTGGAGATGCATTTTCATTAGAAAGATATCTCTGTGCATCGGAGAAAAAGACTAATTTTGGCTTACCCACCTGTGGGTAATAAACAGGAACTATGTGATGCATTGTTTCAAAGTTACCTGTAGCACACAAAGAATTAAGAGCATTCTGCTTTGAAACTGATAATCGAATTGTAAACATAGCATTAGACTACTAAAATTATATTTTCTGAAATGGAATTAAATAAAGTTAAATAGGTTCACAGTAAAACCAATAAAAATTAACATCCAAGATAAAATATCATAGACTTTCATACATAAAAACCTACATAGGAAAGTAAATGGGTACAACATCAATATAAAATGAACTGTCCTTGCATTTTGCTGTTCTGAGTTATTTTTTCAGAGGGTGTAACCTTTAGTCACATAGTTTTTGTGTAGATTGGTCACATGTAGTTTTTGGGATATATTCATGCCTTTATTTTGGCACTTAACATTCCACATTGTTACTGGTCCTCCTCCCTTTTTAGCAGGGATCTCCGTTTAAGTGGGGTCTGCCTTAATCACTTTTAATTCCTAGGGGCTAGCCATAGTCTGGGACATATCCAAGGTGTTCAATAAATGTTTATTAAATGAATAAATTAATGTTTCTATTGAATCACACCAAAAGTAAATACTACAAGATATGCATATATTTTGGATTTTGTTAAAGTGATTTTGTTTTCAATTTTCAGTTATATAGTTATGTGGTTATATTTAGGACAAGATTTTATTGTAAGGTTCTTGAAGTTTGAGGTCATAATCCTTATAATCTTAGCATATATCCCTAATATAGAGCTCCAAATTTGCAAGGCTATCAAAAATATGTAAAAGGTCACGAAGTACAAAAATTACTCTTGCTAAGAATTCCTGTTCACTTAATGTATTTGTTTATACTGAGGTGTCTTTAAAAGGTTCATCTAAAGATCTAAAAGTATATTGTAGATTTTAAAAACATGTATCTTCTAGACTTGAGTTCATGCTTTCCATTTCTCTTAAGCAGTAATAACAGAGCCTTTGCATGAAGACCATAGTGTAAGCTATTGGACACATACCTAAGGATAGAGTTACCATGTGTTATATACATGTATTCAGGGATGCTACTGTTTTTAAGCCGGACAGGCTCAGGACTCTATCATTTGTTTGGATGGGGATGTCTGAATGAGCAGGGATCTTAGCATATTCTTCCTTTTAAGGCTGAATAGTATTCTATTGTGTGTATATACCACATTTTCTTTATCCATTCATCTTTCAATGGACATTTATATTGTTTCCACATCTTGGCTACTGTGAATAGTGCTACATTGAACATAGGAGTGTTAATATCTCTTTGAGATATTCGGTTCTTTTGGATAAATACCCAGAAGTTGGATTGCTGGATTATATGGTAGTTCTAGTTTTAAATTTTAAGGCACTGCCATACTGTTTTTCACAGTGACTGCACCATTTTACATTCCCACCAATCATGTCCAAGGGTTCCAATTTTCCACATCCTTGCCAATATTTGTCTTTTGTTTTTTTGATAATAGCCATCTTAACAGGTGTGAGGCGATAGTCATTATGGTTTCAGCTTGCATTTCCCTGTTGATTACTAACATTGAACATATTTTATATACCCATTGGCTATATGTAGGGTGTCTTAGGAGTTATGTCTATTCAAGTTATTAGGTTTTTTGCTATTAAGTTGTAGCAGTTTCTTTTTAATTTTAGATTTAACCCCATATCAGATAAATAGTTTGCAAATCTTTTCTCCCATTCTGTACTTTGCCTTTTCACTCTGTTGTTTCCTTTATTGTACAGAAGCTTTTTAGTTTGTCCTACTTGTTTATTTTTGTTTTTGTTGTCTGTACTTCTGGTGTCATATCAACGAAATTTTTGCCAAGACTAATGTCATGAAGCTTTTCTCCTATGTGTTCTTGTAGGAGTTTTACAGTTTCAGTTCTTATGTTTAAGTCTTTAATCCATTTTGAGTTAATATTTTTGTATGGTGTAAAATAAAATCCAATTTCATTCTTTTGCATGTGATTATCTAGTTTTTGCAACAATATTTGTTAGACTATCCTTTCCCCATTGTGCATTCTTGACACCCTTGTTGAAGACCAGGTGACAATATATGTGTATATTGTATTTTTGAGCTCTCTATTTTGTTCCATGTATCTATATGTATATCTTATGCCAGTACCATATGGTTTGATTTTTGTAGCTTTGTAACATATTTTGAAATCAGGAAGCATAGTGCCTCCAGCTTTGTTCTTTCTTTTCAAGGTTGGCTTGGCTATTTGTGGTCTTTTGTTATTCCATATGAATTTTAAAAGTGTTTTTTCTATTTCTGTGAAAAACACCATTGGGATTTTGATAGGGATTGCATTAAATCTGTAGACCACTTTGGGTGTTGTGGACATTTTAACATTAAATCTTCCTATCATGAACACAAGATATCTTTCTATTTGTTTTTGTCTTAATGTCTTTCATCAGTGTTTTGTAGTTTTCAGTATGCAATTCTTTCATCTCTTTAGTTAAGTTTACTCCTAGGTGTTTTATTCTTTTTGGTGTTATTGTAAGTAGAATTGTTTTCCTAATTTCCTTTCCAGATAGTTGTTAGTATATCTATATTGCTTTAAGGATTGCTCTTGTTAATTAGTTGGGGCTCATATGAGATTATAAAGAGATTAGTAGGATTTTATTGAGAAAATTAAATGACAGTATAATTTTTAGTCCTGGTTGGTGTGGCTCAGTTGACTGAATGTGGACTTGTGAACCAAAGGGTCACTGGTTTCATTTCCAGTCAGGGCACATGTCTGTGTTGTAGGCCAGGTCCCCAGTAGGGGGTGCATGAGAGGCAACCACACATTCATATTTCTCTCCCTTTCTTTCTCTCTCCTTTTCCCTCTCTGTAAAAATAATAAGATATTTAAAAAATATAAGTGATAGTATAATTTTTAAAAACTGTAAGCTTTAAGGTACATTATATTATTTTGAAAGTCATTGGAGGACTTAAAAATTAATTAGTGTAATTGTGTCTGAATTAGGAAGAATATGTAAAATCTATTAAGATGAAGGGAATTACATTACTTTTAGAATCAATCCTGGGGTGAGGGCTGGTGTTAAATTGTATGAGTACTTCAATATTAATAAGATACTCTGGCATCTTTGGTGCAATCCTGAAAATATGTAAAATACTGGACTCGTTACCCTGGATCTAGTTCTACCTTTCACAATGAGCTGGAGATAAACAGAGGAGGAGAAACGACTCCTGTCTATTTTATAGGTTTCAGATATTGAGAAATTCATGTAACCAACACAGTAACGTCAGCCCAGAAAGTCCCATTTTTGAAATGATTTCCCACAGTTCATATTCACTGGACATGATATAGCAAAATCATCAGAGCTCCATGCCTCTCCACCTCTGTTTCTCTTCACCTCAACTTCCTTGTCCTAGACTGATATGCTATTCTAGCATATGCTCCTAGGCTATGCTATTTATGCAGAAAGCCTACATTGTTCCAGTATTCCTTTCCCTATTCCCCTGGCCTAACTCCTTTTTATGCCCCCATCCCTTGTCAGCTGTGGAACAGTAAGACTATTGTTAGCATTCAAACATTATCATGGAATGGAGGAAGAGTCTCATTCCAATGAGTGAACTATAGAATCTGTGAAGAGTGAATTCTAGGATGCTCCCCAATATGATAAAGATAATTGTTACCCATCACACTTTGCTACAGTTAGTTGCATTACTTAGGCAAGGGAGGTTGGCACGTCCTTTGTAAAACAACCTTAGGCAGATTAAAATATGTAAGTGTTGGGGTGTGTACATAAGAAAGGGGACAGACATAGAGTAAAGGCCACAGATGTGATCATGATACATTTTAATTTTCTATCCTGATGAAAAGTGTAATTTTTGTACTGTTGCTGAACAAATACACCATTGGCTTAGGTTTCCTACTTCACACAGTTGATGGTTATTTCGCCACTTACATAACTAACATCATGTACTTTTGCCAGATACAAAAATACACCATTTTCCATTTCCCCCCACTCTTATGGCTGTTTACATAGCTTACACAGGCATATTTAGTAGCAAACACAGGTTTGGCTGATAGAGTCTCCCATTGTCAGATATAAACAAGTTAAATTTCATAGGAATTGTAAGTAAGTTTAAAAATCAAAAACTTTAAACAAAATCTAAACAAAACTTCCTTATTTCTTAGCATTTTGTTAGTGGTGGTGTTATATTCCCTTTGCTAGTAGAAGTGGTCAGCTAATGAGTAACAATTTACTTACATGTAAATGAGTTACTTGCATCCTCTTTTTTATTATTCTTTTTTTTGCTGATTTTCTTGGCATCTTTGGATGCTTTCCAATTTATTAGAAATTGTCTTTCCATGTTTTTAATTTCTTTTCCATCAAGAAATTCTAGATAAAAATATGTATGTTAAAATATAATATGTACTTCTAGTTTAGGCCACACATACTTGTTACAAAATATGATAAAATACATTTCTTTTAAAAATACCTGATTTATACAACTTCTGTTTAAATTTTATTTGTTTTTAATTATTTTTTTTGGATTTCAAAAAGAATGCGTGCCTATTATTATTATTATTATTATTATTATTATTCTCATCCACCAACATGCTCATTGATTTTAGAGGGAGGGGAAGTCAGGGAGGAAGAGATGAAGAGAAACACTGATGTGAAAGAAAAATCAGCCAGTTGCCTCTTATTGGTGCCCTTACTGGGGACCCAAACTGAAACGTAGGCATGTGCTCTGACTGGTAATCAAACCTGTGACCTTTGTTTGTGGCATGAAGCTCCAACCAACTGAGCCACACCAACCAGAGCAGAATATGTGCTTATTATAAACTGAAACATGAAGGGAAAAAACATAAAAAGGCTCTGTAATTACTATCCATAGTAATTACATGGACAAAGATAATTATTGTAAACAAAATTTGGTGTATGGTCACTTTTCCACAGTCATATGTAAATTGTACTGTTATTTTAAAAAACAAAAATATCATACATAACAAAAACTAATGTTATCTATTCAAATATTAACAATATTTATTTAAATAACATTAAATAGCATAGTTATTCTTAGGAAAAAGCAAAGTATACTATATCTTAAAGTAAATAAGATGTTTTATATATGTAATATAGTGTTTTAAAAGCACACACATTGATAATGCTCATTATACCCTAGGACATAGGCGTAACAGGAACAACCTACGTAGTTGGCCTCTTGGTTCTATGAAGTGAGATTTCAGCTATCTTTACATTTTGTTTCTTTTTAAAAAGTTTTGAAAATTGAGCATCTTAAATTATACAAATAACTTTTATATGTTGTAAGATATTTGGAGAATACAAAGAAATGGAAAAAGAAAAAAAACCCAACATTGCCTGTATTCCACAACCAAAAATAATCCCTAAAAATTACTGATAACACTTTAGTATATTTCTTAGCATTTTTTTGTTTTCTATGTATGTATGTATGTATGTCTGTGTATTACATAAAACTTTAATTGTCTATATAGCATTAGAGTCTACTTTTTAATATTGTGAGCATTTTACTATGTTTTTCTTTCAACATAATGTTTTTTGTTTTGTTTTGTTTTGATTTGATTTTAGAGGGGAAGTGAGGGAGAAAGAGAGGGAGGGCAACATCGATATAAGAGAGAAACATCACTTGGCTGCTTTCCACACACGCCCTGTCCAGGGACTGAACTTGCAGCCCAGGCATGTGCCCTGACTGAGAATTGAACTGGCGACCTTTTGGTTTGTGTTTCGATGCCCAACCAACTGAACCACACCAGACAAGGCTAAAGACAATTTTTAATACTTTTACAGTATTCTATTGTATATGGATATACTATAAAACTATAGAATATTTTATATGACCTTTTTAATCACATGAATACAGGTGGCCTTTATCAATGTGAAGACTACCTTTACTAGCAAAATGTGCTCATCTAGCAGTTTTTAAAATTAAATTTATATGTTCTCTCATTATCCATATAATGTATTCTGCTATATTTCAGAATGTAGAAAGGATGTAGTAACATTTTCAGGGGTCCTGTTCTCACATGGGAAAGAGACAATATCTTGATAAAATATTAATTGTACTACTGAAAGTATTAATATTGCCACTTAAATATGACTCATAATACCATTATATCCAAAATCAAGTAATGAAACTGGAAATATAAACTAGAACTGTAAGCTCTGGAAGCATAATTTTTTCCATATCTTTTGTCATGTATTTATTTGAACTGAATAATAGTACTTTCCAAATTATAATGTATGAAATTGGTGAAATGTTTTATCATCATACATCTTAGTATTTATAACTTTACATTGAAGGCCATTCTTTTATGCTCAGTTTTCCCAACTGCTTGCATTTGTTGATGTCTTTCCAGATCATTTTTTATTAATAATTACATAATTTATTAGTATATTTTTGGATGTGATATGTGTACATCAGTACATATTTTTAAAACACTTAAAGATAAGGAATGAAAAATCCAAGTCTTTTAGCATAATCCCATTTCCTTATGTTAATGTTTCAGATAAAGCTGAGGAATGATTAGGAGACTATGCCTGAGTAAATCTGACTCCATCTCAGTTTTAGCAAATGACCTTATTTGAGTTTATTGGGTGTAGAGGTGATTCAGGAATGGAAGCCAGGTAATGGACACAAGATCAGAGTACTATGAGCTCTGTTTTATAAGTTGCTTCCACTCATACTAAGTAAACCAAGCGTGTGGATTGTCATTCTATTTGGTAAGGACTGGGTTACAAAACATAAAATGGCTCCCTATAGTTCTTTTTACTGGGACATATCAAACCAAGCCCTCAATTAATTGTGTGTATGTGTGTGGTGTGTTTTTGATTTTACATTTATGAAAAAAATGAAATTAAAATAAGACAAGCTAAAATGAAAGAGAATTTGTTAAATATATATATATATGTATATCAAAAAAAGACTGTAAGGTCTTATACTAAGGTGTTAGCAGCAGATTTATTGCAGGATTAGGAATGATATTTATTTTTCTATATTTTCTGCATTTTTCTAGAAGAAATATATATTAATTTTATAATCATAAAATATGGTATAGAAAAGAAGTTTATTTTAACTTTGAATAAATCATCTTTACTTGGAAATCAGTACACTTATCTCCATGTGTTTTACAGCATCACCTTTGGTACTGTGTCATGAGAAATGTTTCCAGGCATGGTTCATGAACATCAGAAGATTCTTAATTATCAAACATTAATAGCGTTTACTTTACTCTGCTTCGTAAGGAAAGTCAACTAATACACCTATGTGCGGTGGGCAGAGAGGGGAGGAGATAGACAGTTTGGGGGTGTTGCATAGCAGAATAATCTGTAGAGCTTTAAAAAGCATGTATGACTGTTCTGTTTCCTACCCTTGGCTGATAGGGTGGAGGGTGGGCAGGGTATGACCCTCACATACGTATTGTGAAAAACTGTCATGGATTTTCCTGATATGCCCTTTGTCAATGTCTTTCTCCTCCAAGAGAATCACCACACTAGCATTATGATGAATCAAGGTTTTCTACAGCTATGAGCTTTGAAATAGTTTTGCCATACATTAGTTTTTATAACCATGTCACAGAAGTTCTGATAGAGGAAACCAGCTCATGAATCTCTTTTGTGAGAGGGCAGTGTTTGTTTCTCTGATGCTGTATGACTTACCCTCTGTACTGGGCCATTCCCCCCACATAGTGCATATTCAGGAATGTTATTATTTGGAAGGGTCTCATAAAGGACTCCCCACCCAGCTCTATTTTCAAATGAAAGGGACTCCTGTATGTTTTTAGGGTATCATTTGGCAAATGTCAGCAGTGAAAACCTTGATCAACTTTATCTACAGAATCAAGAGATAAAGAGTCTCAGGATCTGTAGAGGATTTGTGTCCGTGGAAGTGTGACAAAATGTGAGCAAGTTCTATACATTCATGACTAACCATTTTTTTGGTAACAGCCACATTTTCTTTTTTAAAGAAAGAATGTCTGGTGCCTCGATGAATTATTTGTGGACAGCAGATATTTTTGTGTTTTATTTCTCAATTTTAACTTTTGCTGTTATTAAAAAATATCAAATTTAAAGTTCACTATTTTTGTAGATCCGGATGTCATGTTATATTTCTGAAGGCATGCTGATAAATTAACTAAAAATGAACCAGGTCTCTTTCTCTAAAAAAATGATATTAATATAATATAATTATGTACCCAGTGATTTGGAGACCAATATCAATCTGTCTCTGTATTTTGGTTGGAGACAAACAGGATTTCCGTTTAGATCCATTTTCCACAACTTCATCAACTTGGTCAGTAAATATTCCAAATCCTATAATTATAGAAGAAAAAGACACAAATATATCATGATTTTCAGTATTTCTTTCATTCAGTTAACTATTTATGAAGGTAATTACTGCTTTTTGTGGCATTCTGGCTCAGAGCCAGATACTTAGAAGGTGTACAATAAATTGTTTCTGGATAAAATGATCTATATAATCATAGAGGGGGCTAAAGAGAAAGCAAAAACTGGGCCTGTGTCAGGGGCCATGGAACTGTTCTTTGTCACAGTCCCTTAATTGGACCCAATCTGAAAAAAACTTTTGTTCCTCTGACCATCCATCTTACCGAAGATGCCTTATTCTTAGTGGAGTTTATGGAAGTTTCTAGATTAAGGCAATTAAGTGGTAAGCAGTATATTGATGTCGCAAGGAAATACATACATATATATATATATATGCTTTTTATTTTATAAAGAATGCATATTCATTTTAAAAATCTGTAAAAATATCAAAAGGAAAATAGGAAAAGAATCACTTGCATGCTTATCACCCAAATATCACTGTCAATATGTGGTCATATATCCTTCTAGTCTACTTTTTTGAGCATAAGGATTTTTTTTTAATTGTGGGTTTTAAAAACCCACATGCTAATTAAATGACAAATTGTCATTTTGTTTTACATATATTATAAACATTTGTGTGTTTTTATAGCTTGCAAGAAAACTAGCTAATTTATATTTCAAGGAATAAGTTATTCCATGGTCTATAATCCAAATGAATGTGAGAAAAACGGGTTAATGGCATTTAGGAACCAGCTCACTTAGTTTCCCTCTTACTTCCTCTTTCTCTCTATTTAGGTTTCTTTTTCCATTGTCACTATCCTTTTCTTCAATGCCTCAGTTTTTTAATTTTTATCATTCCTTTCCTCACTTTCTCCCCTTCTTCATTTTTTAAATATGTATGTTTTATTTTAGCTATTTAATGGAAATGAAATATACTTGGAATATTTCTCATATGTATCCCAAATTTATGTTCTTAATTTTTAAAATCAGGTAAGTTTAATCTGTAATGAATTACTCAAGTCAAGCAATGCAAAAACTGTTTTTCTACTCTGTAGCCTTCAATTGATTTTATAAAATTCAATGGCCATAGGCAAAAAAATAAAGGAAAGGAAAACTACCTTCACTAGGGCAAAAACATTACTTTAAAACAAATATTTTGCTGCTAATAAAAATAAAGGTTGATGATTAATTCTATGAAGATATTTCTGGTTTTTGAAGCACTGCCAGATACGTGATCTTGTACATATCTGGGGGTTGCTCCTTAGAATGTGGTGGTAAGCATCACAAAGTTAATAAAAATTGAAGAGGGCATAGCAGCACTTAAGCACCTATGAATTTTCTATTTGTTTTCCTCAAGCCAAGACCAAAATTATCATAAGGTATAAGGGAAAATTAAGAAACACAAATTACAGGTTAATTCAAACATGTTTAATTGCAAAGCTGAAAGTAATTGAGAATACATTGCCTGGTAATTTCACTCCCTATATTATTTCCTCACCTCCAAACTTGATACCTCTTAGCCTAGTAGACCTATTTAACCTATTTATACCTTCCATCTTATTTTTTGATTGAACCATGTTTATTGTTAGTTAGATACTTTATTGGTTCATTTTTGGAAAAGTTTCTTATAAGACTTCATTTATTCTTTAGATTTTAGAAAACATTTTTTGTTCTATGAAGAGTTGACATTTGTTCCCCTCCACATATTAAAAATCTCCACACCCTAGCTGGTGTGGCTGAGTTGGTTGAAGCATCATTCTGTAAACAGGAAGCTCATGGGTTCAATTCCCAGTCAGGGCACATGCCTAGGTTATGGGTTCGTCCCAGGGTTGCATATGGGAGGCAACCAATAGATGTTTCTCTCTCACATCAATGTTTCTCTCCCTCTCTCTCTTCCTCCCTTCCCTTCTCTCTAAAATCAATAAGCATATCCTCAGGTGAGAATTAAAAAATATAATATATTTCTCTCTCCACAAAACTCTCTCATATTGTGAAGGTAACAAATCTGGGACATGCAGATATATGCCTGCATCTACAGGAAGAAATGCTATCTTTGGGGAATAATTATAAGGACAGCTGGATATCTGGGACCCACTGCAGAATTCCTGGTAGGTCCCTTAATCTTCCAGAGACTGATGTTTTCCTACATGAAGTGGTAAAAGTATTTCCAGTTCTGCCTACTTCATTATTCAAAAACAAAACAAAATAAAACAAAAACAAAAACTTATTGAATCATGGACTAAATTTTGTGCTAGACTCTAGTCTATGGTATCCAAATAAATAATTTATGTGAAAAATAGAAATTGTTAAAGAAAAAAAAAAGCAGGCAATCCCAAACTTCTGGCACCACTGCTTACTGTTTGACCTTAGGAAGTCTGGGTCCTCCTTTATAAAGGAGGATAATTAGGATTAGTTGCCATGGCATATAAATGCCTGGAACAAAACAGGTAATAATAAATGTGTTAATTCTTTGCCTCTTTGCCTATCCTTCCACCCCTCAGCTAATTGATTTTCTTCATTTTGGTCAATAGAGAGCAAAAATTGTTTAATAAAGAATAAACTTCTGACCAATTGACATGTAGTTAACTTATAAAATGTTATAAATTATAACTTTATCCTTCAGTCCTGAGCCCTGGATAATGCTCTCTCTACAGCATTTATTTAACTTTGATACAGCCATAATTATTTTATGTGAGATTTTCTCTGTATTTTTCTTAGTCTGTAAAAAAATGTAAGGAAGGAATTGTGCATTACATTTTTTTTAGTGTTGAATAAGATGCTCCTTCATCCAAAAGTTAAATAATAGTAACAATAAGAGAACTTTACATTTATATAGATAAGAGTCCTGTGCAGTTTTGTTAATTGTTCCTCACTTGATAAATGACCCTCGACATATTCCCTCCAGTGCATGTTTATTTAAGACTAAAATAATCCTGTGCTGAAATATGATTACCCTTTGGATACGCTCTGGTTGTTCATTGCCTTCCTGTCTTTAATAAAATGCTTTCACTTTCCTGCCCTTCAATAAGTTACTAAAGGGAGCAGACACTTTTCTGGACAGTCTCTGTTTGATAAATGATCATGTCATGCTATCACTTAGAGTGCTGCAAAGTCCTGGGGAGCCAATTCTGTTTCCCATGCAAGGCTGGCTTGGCGCTCCTGTATGGGTGCCTGCAGCACTGCCAAATGCTCGCTCTACAATTAATGATGACCACTGATGAACCTGTATTTGACCAGTATGCTCCAATCTTTATCGGAAACGTCTGGCCCAACTGTCCCTAACTAAATCTAAAGACAGCCATTTGTCATCCCTCTGACTGCCTGTCATCATCTGCCTGGGAAAATCTATAATTTTGGGCTTGTTTCTGACTAAACTGTGGAGTGAATAAATTTATCTTCGGGTTACTCTGCTTGTCAGGATCAATATTGAGCAGAGGTTGAATAAATTAGAAACTGGAAAAACATGACAGGCCATAGTGGTTTGTTCGTCTGTGTCTTATAAATCAAACATTTCGTTTATATAGGAGGCAAACATGTCAAGTTTTTTATTTCCACCACTTATTCTGAAGATGCTTTACCTCATGATAAATGGTCATCAGAAAACCAATAAAGTAAATCACTGATATATCTGAGTGTGAGATCAACTTTTTCAGATCATTTTATTTATTTAGCAAAATTTGCAGGCATAAAAACTGTAGGTATAAATTTAACATTTTTTTGTTCTTTCATGTTTTTACACATTTTTGTACCCATATTTATTTGACTTAATAATGTCAGCAAGCTATGTAATGTTGACCCTATTGAAGTTCATGGCTCATTCAACTACTTGGAGATAGGCAAAGTTTTATTTTAAATGGTCATTAGAGTATTTAATATTTTAATACATTGAAGCATTTAAAGGAACTACAGAAAAAAAATGCTAAGACATTTTAACCAAATTAAATGTCACTTAAATGAGAGCACTGGGAGTTAAAGAAAGGAGTTTCTAATCTATGGAATATTGTTAGGCCTAACCTCTCCTTCTCCTCCTCCTCCTCAGGATTTGACTTTGCCATCAATTTTATTGGGGAGAACTGGTTCATTCACCCAGAGTTTTCTCATTTATCCACCTTTGATCTCACACTTCCTCTTTCTTTCCTCTTTCTCATTTTTCTCAATCAAGAAAGTGTCCTACCTCTTTTCCCAAAGTAATTGGTTCTCTCCATCCCTTGTCCTTTTCCACAGGCCTCCTGCTCTTGGGGTCCTCTTTCTCTTGCATTTCCATTTCTAATCTTGCCCTTTCCTCTGGGTTTCTTACCTACCATCACTACACTTCTTGAAAGAGTAGTCCACATCAGTGCTTCTCAAACTTTATGTGCTTAAGAAATCACCTAGGGATCTTGTTTAAATACAGTTTCTAATTTTTTACGTCTGGGGCAGAAGCTGAGATTCTGCATTTCTGAGGCTGATGCTGGGGTCCTAGGACCACATTTGGAGTTATAAGAGTCCAGGTCACTGCCTCTGCTTTCTCAGTCATTCAGTACTCCTGCAGCCTGGGGCTTCTGAATAGGCACTTCTAACCTTATCACGTATCACCTTATCACATTGCCAGTCTCAGACTTTCTCAGTCTCAAGTCTTTGGAGCATGTACCCTATTGACTGCTCCCATTATGGCTTTGTGATTCCACATTCTACAGGCTCCTTGGATCTTCATGAATCTCTGACCCCACAAGTAACAAATCTATGATCACAGGAATTCCTAATATATAAACAGGCTGTTTTCCAAAAGCTGTTTTTGAGAACAGAGAATACATAAAAAAACAGTGCTATACCTGGTGGGCTGTTGCCTGAATAGGGCATAAAACAACCTATTTAATAGAGGAAAATGCCCAAAGACTGTGTGGCGCTATAAAACCTCCCATAATGCCTCACCATGTTTCCTAAGCATTAGCGCTCCCTCTGGGGAGCAGGAGTGGGAGCAGGATCAGGTGTCCTTGCAGCAGACATCAGGGATCAGTTTACTTTCTTCCTTTTATGTAATCTGCATTTATTCTTTTCAGTGTTGTTTTTCACAGCAGAATGTATATAAAATCATGGCAAAAAAGTGTTTTTCTCCAATAACCCACTATATTTTTCTTTTTCTATCAGCATAGGAATTTATTTGAATTCAAAATAATATGGCTCTATTTTAACCCACTATATTCTTCACTCATATGCAGACACTTTACAAAAAAGAATGTCCACATTGATGACAATTGTAAAACATCTATTACACCAAGGGAGGAAGGATCATCTATACGTGAGAAGAAGAATCAGATTTTGTGGAATGCTGCAGTGAGCATTTATTTTATCATACTTCTCCTATATCTAGGTAGTGTCATCCATAATGGCAGTTTCAGTGACCACTTAACCAATTTCTCAAAGAATTCAACATGCTACTGTCCACTAAGCTCTGACCTTATATATCCAATTGTCTACCTGATACATGCTATGGAATATTTTAAAGGCACCTCAAATTGGACCAAAACTCATGATCTTCTCCCTTTTCCCCAAACCTGACTCTTGAGCTTCCTGTTTTCCATTGTGCAAGGCAAAAACCTGACTCTTGACTTCTCCCTCTTTTATATTCCTCATATCACCACCAAGTCCTGTCTACTTTACTTCCTGAAGTGAGATCTGTTTGCTCACTTCATTTTCACCCCAACCCTATACAAGTTTTCACCTTCTCTCACTTCCTAATTAGCCTCACCTCTTCCAATCTATTCTCTACACTGTAGCCATTCTGATCTTTTCAAAATGCTTATTTATGATTACTTCACCCCTGACTTAAACACCTTTACGGGCTCCCCATTGTTCTTAGAATAAAGACAAACTTCCCTATCATGACCTATGCAGCTTCTACCTATGTTCACCTTTACTCTCTCTGCTTCCTGTTCCTCATTTTCACTATGCTCTCACCTGCCTCAGGGCCATAGCACGTGCTATTCTGTTTACCTGGTAAGCCCTTCTGTTCTTTCAGAGAGCAGCTCAGCAATCCTTTCCTAAGGGAAGCTGTCACTGAGCTCCCTAACTAAGGCGAATCCTCCTATTATAGCTTCTCAGAGCCACATACTTCTACTTTGTATTACATGTGACAGGTGCATGTTTACATTTGTTTTTGCCTAATTTTGTGCTTAATGTTTTTCTTCCTTTCAGTGCTGAGAGCTCTTTAAGGCCAGAGACTATTTCTATTTTTGTTCACTACTATCTCCCAACTTGTCTAGCAAGTGTTGCCACAAGGTAGGTTAGATAAGGAGACATAAGGAGAAATGGACTCATGGAAAGATAAGGAGAATCTATTTCTTGTTCTCTCTCCAGGAGTGGAAAGATAAGGAGAAATGAATGAATGCATGGATCTTAGGTTAGAAGCAGGACAGGAATTATAAAGGAAAAATTATATAAAACTGTTTTTGAAAAATTTGCTTAGAGGGACTGCATACATAGAAAGAAAAAGACAGGATTTATCTTTCCTTTCATTTCCTCTTCTATTCACTTTCCCTCCACTGCCCCAAGTCTCTGCCTAGGACCAGTTTTGGACTAGGGAGTAGGAGAGATAAGGGTAGGGTTAGAGGATCGTGGAGGCAGTTGTTCTTGGCAGATGTGGGTCTGTAGAAGTGAGAGGAAAAGGATTGTAATCCAAAACAGCAGGAAAGACAGAAGCCACTGGGCCACCCAGCTTTTTGCAGGTCCTTATCCTGTGCCTCTGCCTCTAAGGTAGCCACCCTGCTGTAGCTCTAGGCTGGGCCACCAGTATCATTTGGGAAGGTTAATATTTCCCAGGGACCCTTTTCTCTTTTTTCTTTTCCTTTTCTTATTCCTTCCACAGAGCTCTAGGATTTCAGTTGCCATGGCAGTACTTTTCCTTGTTATTTGTATTCTTTTTAATTTTTCTTAAATATCTTTCTCACTGCTCAAATCAGAATTTTGATTTGAAGATTCAAGGTTTTTTAACCATCTGAGGGACCATTATTTTTTCATTATTATCTTATTTCATGTATTTTCTGTAGGTGCATTTGAGGAACCTATGGTTGTTCATATCAAAGCAGCTGCTCCAATGCTAAAAACCTTGGGTAATTACAGTGATTTTGTGAGGATTCTCTAATGATGTCCATTTCTTTTTCCCTAGGCACAAAGCTGTCGGTTGCTGAAGTCTCTTAGGATGGATGTCAGTGACCTTATTATGTATATGGCATGCTGAGCTTTCTCTCCATGGCTTGGGGTTTGATGTCAGTAGCTTCTGGGCAACTTTGATCAATGAACATAAATAATGGGAAAATTAAAGCCAAAAAATGGTGATCTGACCCCAGGAATACATACGGAGAAACAAGTTAATATTATGATGCTAAACTTCAACATGGCCTTATGGCCTTTGATTCAGCCTTCAGAGGATAATGTAAAATGGACCTCAAAACCACATTTCAAGTGAACCCCAGGAAGGTCTACATTCAGACTTCTAAGGAACCATATCTAGGCCTGTTTAACTGCTGTGTCTTCTTACCAGAAGTAAAGGAACTTGAGATTTCATTCTCATTCCCTGGATATCTTCTCCAATGGGAGGGACAAGCAACTTTTGGCATATGCCGACCTCTGGAACTTGCTGGATGGTTTGCATTCCTTCCCCAGATAGTTGAATATTTTTCATTTTTCCTGCATTCATTATTTCTATAAACATGCAGTAGGTGCCTACTATGTACCAGGCACAGAGCTGAGTTCTAGGGAATCCTGATGTCAACAAAAATTCCTTGCTCTTAAAGGCTCTCAGACTAATGGGGGATATAGTGATATACGATAACAGAATTATATTAACCAGTTATTCCCTACCAACCAATCACTCTTTTTTTAATTAGATTTTTTAAAAGCAAAGCAACAACACAGTTAAAAAAATCAAAATCAAATAAGACCACATGGTTTATAATAAAGCTTAAAAAGTAAGGCTTATAACAAAATGACTTTCAACTTTTCAGCTATTTCTATACATGCTTATCCCCACAATGCTAAATAACAATGGCTATCTATTGATTTTTAAATCTTAGATGTTTGTCTACTGAATTCCTACTAGGTAGATGATAATTTAATTCTCATAAGTACTACTACAAACCCTATACTTCTCTTCCCCCATTTTGTTGATAGAGTCTTACTAAAATTGTTAATATTAATTAATAATTATTAGCAATTACAACTAATATTCACTATTATTAAGCTCACTTAAATATTATTCATCGCTAAACCACATAATGCACTATGATTGTGTCTTATTTTCTCTGGAGTTAAAAATTGATTGGTTATTTATTTGCTTAGTTTTCTACATATTTATCACCAGCTCAGCCTCCTGCAACCTGGGCTGGTAGAGGCTGTCCCAGGACAATTCTTCACTTTAAACTCCCTTCAAATTCATTTTGGGAATTTCGTTAGTCTTTTTCGTATTTCCTAGATGCCATCCTTCCCTTGTCGTAGTTTTCTCTCCTGTTTAGGAGGAGCACGTTTTCTAAGAGCTGCCTGAGGAAGTGCATGTGGGGTGTAAATTTTTTTGAGAGCTTGCATGTTTAAAAATTTAAAAATTGACTAAGTATATAATTCTAGATCAAGACTATTTTTACCTTGAAAATTTGAAGGCATTATTCTACTGTGTTCCAGATTGAAAAGCCTGATAATCCTGATTGCATTTTGATTCCTGGCTCTTTGTACTCTCTTTTCCTCTGTAGAAGACATTAGGAGCTCTTTATTCCTAGTGTCCTAAAACTTTTAAGGATGGACCTGGGTGAGGTCAGTTTTTATCCACTGTGCTGGCATTTGGAGACAGTTTGAATCAGAAAACTCAGCTCTGAAAATTTTTTCTAATATTATTTTAAAGTTAACTTTATTGAGTTATAATTTATATACAACAAAATGTATTCATTAAATGACTAAACCATATACACCCATAGAACAGCCACCATAACCAAGCCAGGTTTTCATCATCCCAAAAGATTCATTCATGGCCCTTTCCAATCAGCCTCCCCTCTAGCCATCATTGATCTGCTGTTACTATATACATTTCTTTTTCAAGATTTTCATTTAAATGGAATCATATAGTATATACTCCTTTTTGTCTGGCTTATTTTGCTCAGTATAATGTTTTGTTAAATTTGTTCATGCTGTTGTGTGCATCAGTAGTTCATTGCTTCTTATTGCTGAGTGATACTCCACAGTATAAATAGTTTATTTATCTATTTCCCATTTGAGGGAAATTTGACTGTCTCAAAAATTACAAATAAAGTTAACTATAAAGATTTGCATAAAGTATATGTGATTGCTGAATCATATGGTAATTTCACCTTGCATTTTTCCCAGTCTCTGACTTGTATTTTTCATTTTCTTAATGGTATCTGAAGCATAAAAATTTTTAATTTTGTTGAAGTTTAATTCATCTTTTTTCCCTTATGCTTTTGGTGTTACATCTAAGAAGGCTTTATCTAATTCAAGGTCTTTATCTATATTCAAGGATAAAGATTTATCCCTATGTTTTCCCCTAAGAGTTTTATAGCTTGAACTTTTTACATTTAAGTCTCTGATCCATTTTGAATTGATTTTTTATATCAAATATCTTTTTTATTATTATTTCTGTTTTAGACTTTCTTACTGTATTTTTTTCATTACCATTTATCCCCCTTATACCCTCCCACCCTGCAATCATGTTGTCCATGTCCATGAGTCCTTTTTCCTTTTTGCCTATTCCTCCACCCCCTAACCCCTCACCATAGCTGTCATCCTGCTCCTATGAGTCTGTCTCTATTTTGCTTGTTAGAGTAGTATTCCATTGTGTAAATGTCCCATAAAACAATTATGAATTGATTTTTGTTTATGTTATTTAAAGAGTATCCAACTTGATTCTTGTTCATGTAGCTATCCAAATATCTCAGCACCATTTATTGGAAAAATTATTTTTCCTCATTGGTTTGTCTTTGGCACCCTTGTGAAAAATCAATTGATTAAAATGAGGGTTTATTTCTGGATTCTCAGTCTCATTTCATTGATCTGTATGTCTATACTTATGATAGTGCCAGTGTCTTGGTTACTGTAGATTTGTAATAAGTTTTGAAATAGGAAAGTGTGAATGCTCTAACTTTGTTCTTTTTCAAGAATGTTTTGACTACCTGGGGTACCTCTAGGCCACTATTCCTTCAAAGATATTTTCTGCCCCTGTCTTAGTCAGTTTGGGCTGCCATAATAGAATACCATAGACTGTGTGGCTTTAAAAAGAAACATTTATTTGTTACAGTTCTGAAGGCTGGGAAATCCAAGATCAAAGTGCTGGCAGATATTGTGGTCTGGTGGGAGCAGTCTCCCTGATTTACAGACACCTATCTTCTCACTATATCCTCACATGGCTGACAGAGAGATAGAGTTCTTGTCTCTTTCTCTTTTTATAAGGATCTCATGATGTAATTATCTCCCAAATGTCCCACCTCCAAATATCATCACATTGGGGATTGGCTTCAACCTATGAATTTTGGAGGTACACAGACATTCAGTCCCTAGCTTTGTTCCTACTACCCCTAGGGCTCCATTACTACATATTTTGATGCTTGTAATATTCCATAAGCCATTGAGGCTCTGCTAATTTTTTAGTGTTTTTTTTTCTTTCTGCACCTCAGTTTTGAGCATTAAAATTTAAGCATAATTTTAATGCTATGTCTTTGAATTCTCTGATCTTCTCTTCTGCAATGTCTAATCTTTTAATCCCATCCAACTAATTTTAATTTTAGATATACTTTTCAGCTCCAGAAGTTACCTTTTCTCTATCTTCCATTTCTTTTCTGTTTGTGTTCATGCTTTCTTTAAATTCTAGAGCATATTGATAATAGGTTTTTTTTTTAAAGTCCTGTCTTCTAATTCCATCCTCTATGTCATGTTATTTCTAGATGTTTTTTCTTGACTGAATTTTCTCCAGTTATGATTTACATTTTCATGGCTCTTATTTGCTATTTCCCGCCCTGGACTATGGTCTGGAAAGTGCCTTCAGGCAGGAAGCTGGGATAATTAGAGAGCTCACCTTGTTTGTTTTCTTTCTCCTAGGGATCACAGTCCTGTATAACATCTGAAAAAGCTGTTTAATGTATTTTGTCTAACTTACTGTTTTTTTGAGGGGGATATGATTCTTGTCTTGTTTAATACATCATGGCCCATTATATTATTTTAAGCATAATTTTACTTCCCTAGTTCCTCATTCTTGTACTCTTATTAGTTATATATTGAATATCCTGGATTAATGATCTGTTTCTTTTTTACTTGCTTATTTTCATTCTTTCTCTTTTTCTTTCTGGGATGCTTACCCAATTTTATCGTTTAAGCTTTATATTGGATATTTAACTTTATTTTAAATTTCTAAGTCCTCACATTCATTTAATATTCCTTTTTTTGTAAAAAATAAAATTTTGTTTTTACTTAAGGGTTATAGAATCATTGCTCTTAATAAATTAATTACAGTGAAATTTGTTAAAGTTTTTGTTTTTCTGTTGCCATATTATCTGTTTCTTCAGAATTTTTTGTTTTTGTTTGTTTCTTTCTTTGATTTTAGAAGCTTTCAGATGTTTAGTGATCTGAGATAACTGTTCTTTCATGAAAGTAAATGAGACCTCTGTGTGAAGGATGGGCTTACTAACTGGTTCATCTCAGTGTAGGGCAATGGGTATGCTGCTGATATTTTCCCTATGGACTGTTTAAATGTCTGAATTGGGAGATGTTTTCTCTTGGGCTAGTCACGTTACCTAGAGAGGATTTCTTTAATGTCTTGTCCAAGGTTTTTAAGCCACACAGGAAGAGTTTTAAGAGTAAAGTCTGGTTTGTGTGTATAAGAAGAGGAAAACATCTAACATTTTAGTATTGTCTTTCACTAAATGCCCATTTTCAGCATTGCCCTCTGCTGTGATTTTTGAGCCACTGGTTCTACTTCACAAATTAAACTTGTTCCCTGTAACTTTGTTTTTAAAGTATTATATGCACATATTCTTTTAATTTTCCCTTCTCTTTGTTTTTAGTTTATATACTGAAATTTCAGGTGTGGGAAAATACTTCATGAAATATTGTTATGGTTTCTGAAACCATGACAAGAAAGTTTCTCATATGTTCATGTGGCTTTAGGTAGAAGAAAAACAATGCAAATCCTTGCCAAGGCACACTCTGTTCTGAAACGTGCATAGTAAGTGATACTTGACCAGACGTAGTGTGATTGTTAAGTCCAATGCATTTGTTAACCTCTTATTTGCCTTCAAGTCTACCACTCAACAGCATTCAGTGCAAGTGGCCTCTCCCTTTTTCTTGAACTTCTTTTTTCTCTTCTCTTACATTACTGACTCCTGGTGCCTCCTCATCTAAATGGTCTCTGAATATTGGAGTATTTCTGTGCTTAATCTTGGCCTCATTTATTATCTCTGCTTTCTTTTATCCAGGTGCATGGTTCTAAATATCATGTAAATGCTGTTGACTCCCAAAATTTCCAATCTACTTCTCCTTTGAAGTCCATATGCCTACTTGGCATATCCATGTCAATGTCCTATGGATATCTCAACAGAATGAATTATTTTATTCCTTCCCTGTATTCCCCAATTTGTAAAGGCTACTGCTCTATCCCCAGGTCCTCACACAAAAAGCTAGGAGTCATCCTTGATTCTTCTCTTTTCATTATTCCAACACATCCTGCACATAAGCAAGTTTTGTGGGTTTAACCCAGAAGTCTACCTGCAATCCATTCACTCCTTTTCATCCCCAAGCAGCCATCTCCTCATACTACTCCTAAAAGGATCTTTATTGTCTGGCTCCTATACCTTCCTTTCTAATCTCATGTTGTACTGTTGACTTTATTTATTCAACTATTACATATTGAGCACCTACAACATTTCAGAAACTGAGCAAGGCACTGGGGTTGCTATCACAGTAAACTGGCCTTTTTTTGTTGTTGTTCTTTGGACACTTTAAGCTTTCTTTGGACTCATCTTTTGTTTCCTATGCCTGGCATGTTCCTTCCCTAGCTTTCTGTACAGATTTCTTCTTCATCCTTTAGATCTCATCATAAATATCATTTGCTCAGAGGCCTTTCTTGATAACCTGATTGTTCTATTATGTCATACTATGTAATTCCTTCATAGCATGTCTCACAATCTTCACAGCTTATTTTTTCCTGACTTTTCCCTCCCCTGTCTCACTGTAATGTAAGCTCCTTGAGGATAGAGAATTTGTCATTTTTGTCATTGTATCCCCAGTGCCTAGGACATGTTTCTCCAAGGGTCTAGAACAGTGCCCGGCACACATAATAAAATAATATATCATAACAAAAATATAAGAAATATTTTTGAATAGATCAAGTTGATGAGAGGTTCAGGATAAGGTATACAAGGGAGGTCAGATAGAGTTAAGTCTTAATAATAAAGATTTGGTCACTTAGACATCTATCATTAGACTGAATAATCAGCAATAATGAAGGTATTTATTTTGGTTATACATTAATCCTGATTATGCATTATTAACATGGCTTAAGAATAATTGTTATAGGCAAAATAGCTTGGTTTTAATGTCTCTCAGGAAATCTAGCATTTTTATCCTGTTATCAGACTCTCCTTTTCTGTTCAGAGTTAAAAGCATAATAGAATAAGACTTTAAAAGTAATGATGATAATTGAAATGAATCTTAATAATTATGATAGTTAACAACTAACCCAATTTTTCAAGATATATTTATTTACTATTTTTTCTTGGCATTTATTTGCCAAGCATTGTGATTAGAACCTGGGCTTACAAAAACATTTAGGGAAAATACTTATCCTATACTTAAAACTGATGACATTTTGGGATATTAGAACTCTCCACCATTTTCTCCCCAGGAAAGGTGAGCTTCTGTGCTTGGCCATTCTGTTCCCATTTCCAATGGGGTGAAAGTGAAACAGTGCATACAGTTTAGATCTTCTCTACTTAATCAACGACCTAAAGTCCAGGTGCCAGAGCCTGGATGTAGGATGACGTGTATAATATATCAATCACAAAATCACATTACTGATAAAAATACTGTAAAATCATAGGAAAACTAAATAATTCTGGTGAATACAAAATGCCCAATTAAAAAATTTTAGAGGAGCTTTCTAAAATTTAAAATATTTTTCATTGCAGAATTTATTCCATAAACTCTTGGAATCCTTCACATTGTAAGTTGAAACAATTGAGTCATGCTTTCTTATTGGGCTTTTTATTTTAAACATCGACTGTGATTGTTCAATGGTATTTTGGATATTTTCAGGAATTCCTTTACCATAAGGCATTAATGCTTATTTTGATAGTTATTTACTCTTTACAGTAGTTATGGGATGCACCAGGTGATAGGTTTGAATTTTAGGGTCAGCAGAAAACTACCTGGAAGTAATTTGGAAAACAACAGTGCTGTGTATGGAAGGAATATAAGCCCATTCTTTCTCTTATGGTTCTGTGCGAATTATAGCACAGCCCACCTCATTACCAAGCCAGAAGCTGTGAAGTCATGGCAATGGCTCAGTTCACAGATGACTGTTTCCAGGTGGCCCTCCTTAGCTCCAGGCTGAGTTAGTGCTACCAGAGTGCTTATGAAAGTAGAATTACATTATAGTGTCGTTACTTGTTGCCAATGGGTTTTTTGAGCTCTGGGATTGTATCCTTCCTTCCTCTGTTCCATTCAGAATAGTACAGTGCCTGACAAATCTGTAGGTGACCAGTATGTATTTGAATGAATGAGTAATTGAATGAATATGGCATGATATAACATGACATGAATATAGCTAGTGCAAATTAAAATAAGTTCAATATCCAGGTGCTTCCCCAAGAAGGAGTAGCCAGGAGAGAGTTCAGGTCTAGTCTCAGTTACTAGAAACTCATTTATTGGGAGATCAGAGGTAAGGGGCAAGAAATCTAGTCTTTAGAGGAAAACATTTGATGGAAAATAAAAATCATGACTTCCTTCTCAGAGAAACATTTTTTTTATATTGGTGAAGGATGGAGGCACTGGATATAGCAGTAAAACAAGGTAAAGGGGCAGAATTATGCAAATAAATACATTAAGAAGTAAAGAGTCTTAAGCTAGTTTTAGAACAAATCTAGACATTTTTAAAGTAATATATTTTATAGTGATTTCAATCATAATTTCATGTAAATATTTTTAAATTAATTTTTCTTTACACTACCTTCACATGCAGAAGCTGGTTGTCAACTGCGATGAGCTGATTAATATTCTCCAGTATTTCTAAGTCTCTTATGTCATCAATATTATTGTTGCTGATATTCAATATAGAGAGAGATTTCTGTAAGAAAATAATTAAATTAGCTTTAGTAAATAGCCTATTTAAGTACAATATATAGGAACTAGAAATCCTAACCCATGAAAATTTTAATATTTATCAGTTCAGGCTGTTTTGTTCTTTAGGCAAGAAAATAAAAACCCATGGAGATTTTGTTTCTATGTCATATTTTTTTTTCCAGATGGGATGTTTAGAACTATAGTAGTTGTGGTATAACTTAGTACTTTTCATAAGTTTGATCAAGATATAAGAAAAATTTATAGAAAAAAGAAGCTAAGAATCAAGAAGCAAAGAAAGAAAAAAGATGACCCAATTAGCAAATGATAACAATGCAGAAAATATACTTCAGTTTAAGCAAATTATCATTTTGTGTTAAAGGTCACTAAAATTTGTACTTACATAGGAAGAAATCGTTTTTGTCTTTGTTTTTCTAAATAAAAAACATTAACCAAGAATTAAAGAATATCTGGTTTTTATTTTTATCTTTATCTCTCTGTATAGTTTTCTCTTGACATTCCATATGTTCAGAAGAACTTAGAATAATAATTAGCTAATAAAAATTTCAACTGTTAATGAGGACATAAATATACAATAGAGCACACTAAATCAAAGCCATCTTAAAATCTAGGGCCCAGGAATCCCTACCAAGAGGGAGTCTACCCACCCAGGCATCCACACATAGCTAACATAGGGATGCTACTTCCTGGTACTTTTTAAGACTTGAAAACAGCTTTAAAAATTATGCCTTATATTTAGAAATTCAGAATCTGCTTGAAACTATGCAAAACTTGAGTAAGCAAAAATATTTTCAGTGGTGTTTTATGGATGTAAAACTAGCCATCCCTACAGTGGGGTCAGTCTACTTGGATCAGTTGAGGTTGAGCTGAGACACCATTCATTCTATAGGGAAGATAGAAGGGATAGGATAGAAACTACCCTATTTTTCGCAACAGCATGGATGGAACTGGAGAACATTGTGCTAAATGAAATAAACCAGGCACTGAAAGACAAATACCATATGATCTCACCTATAAGTGGAACCTAATCAATAAAACAAACACATTAGCAAATTAGAACCAGAGATGTGGAAATAAAAAACAAACTGACAGTGACCAGAAGGGAGGGGAGAGAGGAATAGTGGGGGAAGAAGGGGAAGGGGCAAGTTAAGGAACATGAGTAGAGGACTCAGGAGCACGGACAGTGGGGTGGGGATTGACTGTGGGGCAGAGGGGACAGGAGAGAGCAATGGGGCAAAAAGGTGGGACAACTGTAATGAAACAACAAAAATAAAAAATGAAACAAGAGAAGCTACCATATTTTGCCATGCATAATGCATACCTTTTTGCCCAAATTTTTAAGGGAAAAATAAGGATATGCATTCTACATGGGTAGTACCTGAAACACCTTGTATCTGTTCTTGTGTTTTATAATTATTTGTTACATAAAATTTCTTGTACCACAATATGTTAAAAATAAATGCTAAAAATTCCTTTATAATACAAAAACCAAGTATGTAATATAAATAAATACAAAATTGAATTTAAAAATTAAAAGTTTTTTTTTCTGAAAGTTTGGGCCAAAAACATGGGTGTGTAGTGTGCAAAATATGGTAAGTCACTTCTTTCTTTTCCAATTTAAAGCACTATCTCTTAATTGTTATTTGTTTGGTTCAGAAACCTTATTCTGCCCTCTGTTCCTGGGCCCTCTAAAATAAAGCCAATGAAATCTGCAAATACAATAACCATGCTCTACTTGTGGCCCTTGTCCTGGATGAAGGTAGCTTATCTCTAACAAATCCTGCTTTGATGGTTAGCTCAAGCCTCTGCGGCACCCTCTAGCTTCTCAACGAGCTGTGACACCTCCCTGTGATGTCAGGTGACAGACAGCTGGAGCATCAAACAAACCTAGGACAGCCATACCTATTTGCTTCTGATGAACCAGAGTCATATGTGGCATGACCTACAATCAAATCAGAACTCAGCGAAAAAACGACTTATTGTAATGATTCCCTAGGTTGTTTAGAATTTGCCTGAAGTGCACTCCTATTTCCTTAGGCTTTTTGTATCATGACAATCACCAAGGTCCAAATTATGAGTGAACTAACATCTGTAAGTGTTTCATACTTTACATAACCTTTTTAACATCCTTCTTTTGATCCTTCCAATAGCCCCAGAAGCAGGAGTTATCTCCTTTTTATCGCTGTTGAGTCTCTGAGAAATTACATGGGAAAAATTAGTTTTAGCCCTCAAATAAACTCTCAGTTGGCCTATAATTATTCAGAATATGTACAATGTCCAAATAACCCTTTACCACCTTCCTGTTCCATGATAACTGTTCATCTCTACATGCTTTGTTAGAATACTCAAATATGGTCTTACTGCCAGGGAATGAAGAGTTCTTGGATCAAACAGAAGCTTTTCTCCAAGGGGAAGCCTCTGACTTTCAACATGAAGTTCTCTTAGTCCTTCTAATCCTTCTAAACCTTCTATGACAGTAATGGAATTGCCTCCCAGATACCTGCAAAATATTAGACATAATTTTAAATAGACATTCTGTAAACATCATGGTCTGTAAACCTGATAAAAACATAATAACAAATAATTGAGCTGTGTGAAAATTATACATACAGAATGTTCTCTGTATATTAAATCAATGAAAGATTTATCTATATGATTCTTATAATTTAGTCTAGGAAGTAAGTTTATTTTTTCTTAAGTGAGAGGCTTGGAATAGTCCTTATTAAATTATCTGCCAATGCTTATCATAGATAGGTGCAGAAGAAAGGCCTAGGCTGTAGGTTCAGAAATTAAGATTTCTGGGCCTATTCCCCAAAAATTCAGATTTGGCTATCTAAGCAACCCAGCATTTCCCACTCTACTCCTATCTCCCCATTTTAAGGCCCCTGGCCCACATTTTGAGAAGCACTGACAGTTTTTCCAATCTGGGGAAATTGGATCCACCAGTCTTCATTACTTATTTATAATTATTAAAGGCACAGTAAATGCTTTTTTACAATAAAATCTACATCAACATTACCAATTCTATGACCCTGCCCTTTTGAGATATGTGATTCTTAAAGGCACAGAACTCATTTGAGTTCCATGGAAATTTTTTCACCATTTGAGCCTCTATACAGATTTTTTGGGGGGTATTCCTATCAGCCCTTAAGACATCTCAACTTCCAGCAAAAGAAAAGTGTATCAGGCTTAATAAAATACAAATTGTCTTGTATTACATAGGAAACAACTTATCTTGTACTAATAATACTAAAAGAGAATTAAAATTGTGGCCTGTTCCACAAGACTACAGATAATGGAAACACCTGCATGTAAAAATATTACTGTAATGATGACAAACAATTACATTACTTAAAGAAATCACTTACAGTTTTTCTAATTTCTTTAATGATCCGAGGTTCTCTATACATGAAATACAATTGTTTTGTAGGTACAGGTGAGTCAAATTTGTGGCAAAATTCAAGTTAGTAATTTGACTAATACGATTATCATACAAATATAAAACACTGAGATTTTTGCAAAGAGAGAGGTCTTCCTAAAAGGAAAACAAAAACAGGTCATACTTAATTTCTTCTGAAAACTTTTGCTTTTAAGAAAGTTTATCTCTTATTCTGTGATTTCCATTAAAATTAATATAAAAGAACAGTATTGCTTTATTTGAACACAGTCAAAACAAGACTAGAAAAATTATAAAATTAGTTCTAGGTTTTAGTATTCTGTATCAATAAAATTGTATTCATTAAGAAAGATTTCCCCTGTGCAAGCAGTTTTTCTCGAAAGCAATTAGGCTTCTTTGGAAGATGAAACATTTAACAAATTATTGCTCCATCATTACAAATCAGGTCTTCTTAGTCTTTCTGTAGAATTGAAAGTAAACTGTTGTGATTTATAATACTTAAAATTGTAAGTCATCTAGATATTTAAGAATAATGAATTAATAAAGAATCTATGATAGTGGTATTAAAGAGAATACCATATGACCATGAAATATCCTTTAGTTTCTTTTGTAATGTCTTGTAGATTTTATAATAAAATGAGAACAGTACAATGAGCCATTATTATAAAATTATGTGAATATATGCCTAGAAAAAAACACTGGAAGGACATTATCTAAATGTTAATAGTGGTTTTCTCTGCATGGTAGAATTATAAGTCAGTTTCTTTTTTGTATGCATTTAATACAAATGAACACCAATTACTTTTGAGATATGAAAAATAATTAAGGTATTTTAAAAGGCTGTCATTTCTTGTATGTTAGTAGATTCCACCTAAATGAAGTAGATAAGAGATAAGAGTGAAGTTTTGCTCAAAAATATCTCAGCTTTCACTGAGATCTTTTAAAATCTTGGGAACTTAAGTTTACAAGTTATTCATATCTTAGTGTAAGTTACTTTATACCAGTTTGCTTTCTTCCTAACAAAGGTTATCCACACTGAAGGAGCATTGATAGTGAGGAGCCAAAGAAATTTAAAGGGAGGGAAGCCCTGGAGAAAGCAGTCTGTATGATGAGGTAGAGAGCTTCAGGCAACAAAAGAGAAACATGAGGTTTGGGAAACTAGATTCATGGGAGAAGGATCACCGGGAAGCTGGAAAGGGATATAGACTGGGAGCTGGATAGGATTTCTGAAAAAAAATACTTAAATTGTCTTAATCGACAATTTTGCCTGGAGCATTGGTGTTTTTTATTCATTCATTCATTAATTCAATAAGTATTTATTAAGCACTTAATAAGAGTCAGGCACCGTATTGAATGGGGAATTTAGAGAGATGTGAACAAAATAGACATGACCCCTTCCCTTGTGTAGCTTATATATTTCCATGACATTCCCTCTCATCTATAGTCTTCAGCATTTTATTATAGACAATGGATACCAATACAAGTGGCCTAAAATGGGCTATTGCTGCCATTCAAGTTTCCCAAATCAAAGCCAAGAATTGGCTTAACATAGAGAATATCCAAGTAAAGAATCTTATCTGATAACTGGGAGAGTATAACCCCCACTTATACAAACATTAAATATTGGTTTACAGTGTTCCATGGTCAAGTAGACTAGTTGAAGTTGATAGTGAGCAAATTGAGACATTAATTGAGAACAATCAATGTTCTACCACGTGGGAGATAGGTGACGTACTCAAAGTATCCAAATAGGTAGTTATTGGTGAAAATGAAAAATGTATCTTTTATATTATGGAAAAACTAAACAGACTTTTTGGCCAACCCAATAGTTTGCTACACTGTAGAGTATTTTAGGGGAATAGATATACTAAATTATATATATTTAACACTCACAATGGTATGTTTTATAGAAATAAGTTTAATAGGTTTAACATCACAAGCAGGAAGGTAAGTGATAACACAATATAAAGCTGACTAATGAAAATATAGTTAATAAGTATAATCAAAATATAGTTAAGAAGGTATGCCCTGACACCAATTTCTAAACTTTACATTGCTAATGATATAAAAACAAAAAATAATTTCAGAGCTCTTACAATTCCATCTATATTTCTGTCTGAAAAATTTATGTGTGTTATTTTCTTCAGGTATTGTAAAGTGGTTTCTTCTTTTCTTGGTTTAAGGTTGCTGTTTTTGGCAACTAGATCCAACGTCAGTCGAACCATGATTTCGCTATAAGTCAAACTCTCAGCAATAGCTGTGTTCTGATGTCATGTTGAGAAGCAGGTTTAGGTATTGTTTTATGCCCAACTTTCTAAAAAGAAAAAAGAGAATAGTATGTACAGAGCAATTTAGGATAAATCATTTTGACTTTTTAGGTTTCTTATATAAAACTATTTGATTAACTAGTTCATGGGTATTTTAGGGGCACTTAGGTATTTTTCTAAGGCTATAGGCCTAATCTTTTTATTAAAAAATTTAAAATACCAAAATTAATTAAAACACAAGGCTCATTACCTTTTAAATCTTTTCCTCACTCTATTGAATTTTTATTGTAGGCATCTCTTGGAGTAGAAAAAGATCTCAAGGAATATCATCTAGCTCTGGCTGGGTAGCTCAGTTGGTTAGAGTGTCATTACAATATGCTAAGGTTGTGGGTTTGATCCCTGGTCAGGGCACATACAAGAATCAACCAATGAAGACATAAGTAAGTGGGACAACAAAACCATGTTTCTATCTCTTTAAAATAAAAAAAAAATTAAAAAGGAATATTATCTAGTATTCTCATGTGAAGAAACTAAGGCCCAATCTAGTGGCATGTAAGAATGAGATCAGGTCTCTTGGCTCCTTTTTCCATAGTATCTGTGGTGATCATATTAACTAAACCCCCATATCAGAAAAATGGTGTGAAACCCTTGAATATATACATAGGCCGATGGTGCAGTATACTTGAAAATTGTGCTGGCCTTCAATTACGGTATGTTACTACAACCATAATCCACAAAGAGGTAACATAATGCAGTATTTCTCAGTCCAGACTGCCTAGTTTCAAGTTTTTGCTTCACTGCTCACTAGTTAGGCAATCTTGGGCATGTTACTTCAATTTCTTATAAAATTAGGACAATATCCAAGGGATAGTGTGAAGATTACATGAGATAATCATGAATAGCGTGTTCTACCCAGTGTCTGGTACATAGATCAATAAATGTGTGCTATCTTCATTATTATTCTATTGTTTTCTTCACAGATAAGGTGAACACTATTCACTTGACCATTTTTTCTGGAATATATTAGGGCCGTTAAATAAGGGAAACATGCTATTAATCAAATATTGCTGTATATAAGATATGCATATGTAGTCTATAGTTTGAGATAACCCATTTTTTGCAATCATCTAGGAAGTATAGCTATTTAAGTGATGTGTATCTCAGTTTCCCTAATTGTGCTTTATATTCTCTTGTCAAAAATGTAAGCAAAAATACACTTTAAAATTGAACATTATTATTCCAATGTGTCTGGGATTTCACCAACCAAACATCTCAATTTGTGTGGTATTCAGGGCAAGAAAGATTATGGTTACAGATCAAATTTCAAACACGACAATAATATTCTGAACAAAGTTTCTAATTAAGTAAAGATAACTGTTTTTAATCTTGCTTAAAAAATATATCATCATAAAAGAATAAAGAATAATACCACACCATGGATCCAAAGGTCAGTTTAAAAGGCAAAACTTGATTCGCAGTCAGGGCACATGCCTGGGTTGCAGGCCATGACCCCCAGCAACCACACATCGATGTTTCTCTCTCTCTCTCTTTCTCCCTCCCTTCCCTCTCTAAAAATAAATAAAATCTTTAAAAATAAATAAAAGTAACACACACACACACACACACACACACACACACACACACACAAAGATAAAACTTTAGGCCCTGGAGGGTGTGGCTCAGTGGATTGAGTGCCAGCCTGCAAAACATAAGGTCACTGGTTCAATTCCTGGAGGGGATAGCGTGTGCAGGAGGCAACAAATCAATTATCTCTCTCACATAGATGTTTCTCTCCCTCTCTTTCTTTCTCCCTTCCCCTCTCTCTAAAAAAAGTAAATAAAATCTTTAAATATAAAACACTGTAATATATTTGGAACCTATCTATACCTTTCTGCCTCTCCATGTTTTAATTTAGAGTTTATCATAAATCTAGACATCTTTCTTCATGTCTTTGTACTTTTACTACATATATGTGAATACCTAAACAACATACAGTATTGTTTTCCACATGTCATAAATGGCATTATTCTGATTCCAGTTTTCTTCTTTGCTTAATTTTTTTTGTGACACTCAGAGTTGATGTGTGTAGCTCTAGAATAATTTTACTGCTGTGTAATATTCCACTGTAAGAAATTTATTCTGATGATAGATCTTTGGGCATTTTGATTTTTTTGCTTTTACAATGTTGCTCTTATGGTTCTTGTATATGTACATGTTATCTTAGCACACTGGGAAGAGCTTTTGTAGGGTTTTGAACTAGTGATGGCCACTTTAGGGTTGCACATATTAAAAATATGGTTTCTTTGATGACTATTTAAAAATTTTAGAACTTTTCCTGGAAATTTCAAATATCTTTTTTACACTGATAACTGTGGTGAAATTTGATCTTCAAGAGGTCCTCTTGAAGGTTTCTCCCTTATAGCTGAGGCAAAACACTGCTGTACAAGTGGCTATGCAGGAGCTACCCTGTACTATGAAATATGTGATGCCCTATGGGGACAACTTTGACAAATATGAGACCAAAGCCATGAATGATTTATTCTCCCTTCTTTCCCCCATGGACTTTTAGGAGACACAGTGATTTAAAAAGGTCCCTCTGAAAACATGTTGTGGTCTTCTGGGTTACATACTCTCTTATATTTATCCTCTCTCCATCTCCCTCATTTTTTTTCCTCTTCTCTCCTGCTTCCCTGAGAGAACAACCCCAAAAAGGTGTTATCACAGAGTCTGTGCTTCAGGCTCTGCTCCCTAACCTAGGCTAAAACAGACATTTTGGATCATCTGAATCTTCATGAATGACCATGCTATAAATGGCTTTTGTCTGTAGGTTCCATTGCACTAATTAGTGTTTGTATAGAAATAAGTTTAATTCTCTCATATTATTAGAAAAGGAAAAAGGCAAATGATTTATTTATTAAACCAAGGGAAGGAAATGGACCTCCTCAGCAAACTATAAGAAAACTTTCCAGGGGCTTGAATGTGGAAAGGGAGAGAATTGAATCAACTCGTAATATACAATAATAGAGACTGTTAAATAAAAAAACTCACATCATAGTAATCAGATCCACCAAAGGGAATTTAGTTTCACCAAAACATCATCATTTATTTTGTGAATATAATACTTTAAACTTCACTGATATTGTAGTTTGTTTTAGAGAAATTATAAACTTCAGGAATTTAAACTGAATCTAGTTTGATTTGGATACATTTCAGAACATTATAATAAAATAATTATGTCAACACTTGTGGGGTGTGCCTAGTTTTCTTTTATTTTCTAAAGTGTGAGAAACTGCTTTTTCATATTTTTTCCCTACTAGATATCTGTTATCTCTGGGCTCCAAATGCTAGGATCTCTCTCCAGATCGACAATGGGGGACAGCTTGGAGCTGCTTTACAGGAGCTCAGGGATCCATGTTGGGGGACCTCTTGGCTTTCATCATCCTGGGGCTCTGACTAACTAGATGCAATGGACATTTCATGTTCAGTTTGTATATTTCTTTTAGCTAGGCTCATGCTCAGTGGCTCCAGATGCTGTGAATCGCTGATGCGCTCAGACTTGCCCGTTTTCTTTCTTCTTCCCTCCTTCCTCCCTCCCTCCCCTTTCCTCCTCCCTCCCTCCCTCCTTCCTCCTTCCTCCCTCCCCTTTCCTCCTCCCTCCCTCCCTCCTTCCTCCTTCCTCCCTCCCCTTTTCTCCTCCCTCCCTCCTTCCTCCTCCCTCCCTCCTTCCTCCTCTCTCCCTCCCCTTTCCTCCTCCCTCCCTCTCTCCTCTTTCCTCCCTCCCTTCCTGTCTTTTAATTTATTGATTTTAGAAAGACAGGAGGAAGGGTTGGGAGAGGGGGGAGAGAGAATTGTTATTCTACTTATTTGTGCATCAATTGGTTGCTTGTCGTCTGTGCCCTGACCAGCCGCGCGACCTTGGCATTTGGGGACAACGCTCTAACCAACTGAGGTACGGGTCAGCACAGACTTCCCCTTTTTCAAACTAGATCTGCACGCACAGATCCCGCTCCCTGAGCTCCGCGGCCAACCCCTCCACCCTTGTCTCCTTCCACTAGAGCTGTTTCCCAATCTTGCCTGATTATAGCCATTTGTTTAAAATACAGCCTCTAGACTGCATTTTTCGAGAAATTCCCTTTCAGAAATTGCCTTCCTGAAAAGGGAAATTTCCTTCCCTTTTTTGAGAAATTCTAGATGTCTAAAGATAAGACTCAGGGATCTGCATTTCAACAAGTGCCCCAGGAAAGTCTTACTGGCAGGACGCAAGTTTGAGAAACCTGGCTGTAGGGTTTCCTTGGTCCCCACGCTTCTTCCCTGAATATACCTCACCGGTCGCGGGATGAGCCGGGACTCAGGTTTGGTAAATTTCGCCAACGTCAAGTTCTTCAGCAGCCACCTGCTGTTGCCAGGCGACCAAACACTCCTGGACAGTCGGCGACTCACAGAGAAATCTCGCGAGGTCTCTGGAAGCGCCCGCCCCTGTGTCCTCGCGGTGGTCCAGTTTTCTATGACGTCGAGGCTAGAGGGTGGCCCCTAGGCCTGTCTGAGTGAAGGCAGTTAGCTTGACGAGGCCGTGAGGCCTCGGGTCTCAGTGGCGTTTTTAGTGGACTAGCCTGTCTGCCAGGACAATTTTTGGCAGGCTATCATTACCCCGTACTGGATTTTCCTTGCCATCAGTTCTAACGTTTCAGTGCCCCCAAACTGACTGCCTTTTCCCAGTAACAGACCAGGAAACAAATTGTCTCAATTCAAATTCAGCCCATACTTCACCCTTTCCTCAGATAAAGGGTGAAGTTCCAAATTTTCCAAATTCCTTAGGTGACATTCCAGTGCATTCATCATGACCAGTCTCATTGCTTGCCTCTTGCCTCCTATACCTTAGTATTCCAATCTGGCACTTGGCCCAATATTCCCTGTCCTAATAATCTTCCTTCTCCTCTCTCCACTCCCTAAGGTAGCGATAGGACACACTTTGTTTTCTCCTTAATTCTTGTTTCCCCTTTTAAGATTCAGTTGGTTAGAGCATTGTCCCCACATGCCAAGTTTGCAGTGGGATGCTCAGGGAATGAAAGCATCAATAAGTGGAACAACAAGTCAATGTTTCTCTCTTGTACTCTTTTCCTTGCTCTCTATAAAATTTGAAAAAAAATTTAAAAAATTGAAGGACTCAACTTGGTATGAGCACATCCTTTCTGGAGCCTTTCTAGGTACTGGGTCTTGATAAGTAATACTGCTTTCTCCCCCCCAAATAAAAGTATATATTAAATTTTTAGCTCAGCACTTAACCATACTATTATGTGTTTGATACTTACCCATATCCTTAATAAAATGGTAAATTCTTTAAGGGCAAGGATTATGTCTTTTACTCTGATATTCCCAGGACCTGGAAAAGTGCTCTTTGTAGATTAGCAGTCACTTCATAAGGGTTTGTTAAAATACTAATTTACAAATGAAGGAGAAGAGCAATAGAACAAGGAACTGCCATTTACCATGGAAAGCCTGGGACTTATTAGGAGTATGGTAAAGTGAACATTCATAAGGGACAGTGAAGACTGGAAAACAGTGGGTGACAGCAGGGTGATCTTAGGGGGCGAAGGCACTCTGGAAAAGTTGTCATTGCTGTTCCTTGAGAATAGAAGGGTGAAGGCAGAAGATTATTAAAGTTACAAAGCTGCTTAGAGACCAGGTGTATAGTCCAACTTGCCATTTTACAGATAAGGAAACTCCCAGGCTAGAGATAGGAAAGAAATATGCTGAAGGTCACATTTGATGTGGCAGAGAGGGAATTTATCCTTAGGCTCTTGATTTCAAGCTCCAGTCCTTTTTCCTTATATCTTAATGTCTGTTAAAGTAAGAGTCACCTGGAAAGAGGGACAGAGGGATGAGAACCTATGGACCCTAACCACATTCACAACATTGTTGCTAAAATCCAGTTGTAGGCAATTTTGGCCTGGTTTAGGGTAAAGGCAAAGAAAGTGGAAGGGGATGAACATTTTTTAGGAGGCATCTTGAAGCAAGATTTAATAGAGAGCAATTGGATAGGTTAAAGGGAAGGAGAGGTTGAGGATAATTCCCAGGTGTTAGTTAGGATAAAGAAACAATATTGGAGAAAGAGGAGAGGTGGCAAGTATCAAAAACTTGAGAGGAAGTAAATGAGTTTGGTTTACGCATGTTATTGTGAGATGAGATAGGTTTAATAGTTTCAAGAATGGAACTAATCATTGAACCCAGGAGGCCATAAATAGTAGTCAGGGAGAAAGTAGGGAAAAGAAAAATATAGCAAGTCAGTTACTATGCCAACTAGTTTGGATGAAAGAGAGAAGCAAAACTGGTTAAAATGTCAAAGAAAGATTTATCAGAAGTGGGACTCATTCTGAGAATAAATAATGATTCTCATATAGTGATTCAAATAGTGATTCAGAAACCAATAATTTGGATTCAGACACTGGGGAAAGATTTAAGGAGGGAGTTACATAAGAGAATAAAAAGCTACAGAAAGATATGAAGAAGTAAAAGAAAGATCAAAACAATATGGCTAAAACACAGCACAAATCAGAGGGCCTTCTTACCTGATTTATAGGCTGTTCATTTGGGGACAACAGCTTCAGCAATGCATGCGGGACTGTCTCATTGCTGTGCTTAGTGCTCACTCGACCTGCTTCTAACATTACTTTGCGAGAAACATGTTTAACAATATCTTATTGAAAGTCAGTTGCTCTGTTAAGCTTTGTTTTATAACGATTTTGTATATTATAAAAAGGAGAATGATCTCATTTGTGGTAAAATTATACACACATTTAAATGTCTAAAATATATATCTATGTCCAATATTATAGACTTAGATGCAGATCTATATAGATCTATACCCATACCTATAGCTATATATTTCAATACCAAAATATTTAATAGTGGTTATTTCTTGGTGGTGGGATTATGACTTATTATTTTTCTATTTTAGTAATCAGGGTTTTTAAAAATGATAAAATTATATTCTGAAAGTCCATTTTTGGATTCTGCTCTTTGTGTAATTGAAAATCTCTTTGTTACTGCTGGTATTCAAAATGGTTTAAAATGGCCCTGACCAGTGTGGTTCACTTGGTTGGGCAATGTCTCACAAAACAAAAGGTCACAGGTGTGATTCCCGGCCAGGGCACATGCTTAGTCTGTAGGTTTGGTCCATTGTTGGGACATGTGCAAAAGGCAGCTAATCAATGTTTCTCTCTTACATCCATGTTTCTTTCTTTCCCTCACTTCCCCTCTCTCTAAAATCAGTAAAGATGTTCTCAAGTGAGAATAAAAAAATAAAATAGTTTAAAATGGTTGAATTACTAAATATTTTTTAATGTAACAAGTTTAAGAGAAAGTCACAGGTGTGATTTAGTAACCCTGTGATTTCCTCATTAAGATGTGAAATACAGCCTTGGCTGTGTTGCTCAGTTGGTTGGAGCATCATCCCCATACCCCAAAGTTGAAGGTTCCATCCCCAGTCAGGGTACATACAATGAGCAACCAATGAATTCATGAATAAGTGGAACAATTAATTGATGTTTCTATCTCTTTCTCTCTCTCCCTCCACCTCTCTTTCTAAGATCAATAAATAAAATTTTTTAAAAGATGTGAAATATAATTCCTGTCTAGTGGCATACAGTGTTAAACAATCATCTGTGTATTTTCCAATGTGGCAGAAATTTGGCAGACTACAAGAAATACTTGTTTTCAGTGCCACATTTGTAAGTTCAGTGTAAAATATTCTAAGAGTTACACTTTGACAGATGTTGGGGAATTTGTATTTGTAAAAAAAAAAATGGAGTCTTGAGAATCATTTTAAAAGGCAGTATTGGAAGAATCCCACTAAAAAGCACATTTAAAAAAGTCTCCACTATGTTTCTTAAGTAACTTTAGACAGAAACACACTTTTTATTTCAAAAATTGTTCTATATATCTTTTTTTTTTTTGGCAGTTTTTGACCTTCTATAGTACTAAGCAAGCACTTTAATGGTTAGTTCCTTTCTTTGGGAAACCAACATTTTAAAGGGCCTGTATAAAATCACATAGCTATACAGAAAAATTAGCTTTTATGTGAGTTAACTCCTCCTTATGTGTTGACCCTATAGACTGGTAAAATATTAATGAGTTTGGTAGGCAGACTTCTAAAATGATCTAAATGATCTCACTTGCTGGTATTTATGCACTGGTGTAATTGCCTTTCCAAGTGTGGGCTGGACCTAATGACTTGTCCCAAGCAACAGAATAAGAAAAGGTTGATGAGCTACCATTTCTGCAATTAGGTCAAAAGATTGTGAGTTCTGTCTGGTTAGCAGACTATCTATTGCATTACCTTGTACTTGTTGATAGAGCAAGCTGTCATTTAGAAAAGCTTCACTTGGCAAGGAACTGAGGATGGTCTTTAGCCAACAAGTAGTGAGGAACTGAGAGCCTCAGTCCCACAAAAAACTAAAGGCCAAAAACTACTGTTTAAGCTTGGGAGTTGATCCATCCCCAGTTGAACTTTCAGATGAAACCTCATCTCTGGCCAACAGCCTTATGAGAGATCTTGAAGTGGGACCCAAATTCTTGGCTCGAAAAATCTTTGAAATAATAAATGTGTTGTTTTAAGGCATTAAGTTTTGGTCTAATTTGTTATGTAGCAATAAAGAACTAATACAGGGAGCAACAAAAATTCCTTTAAGGAGGGAAAATTTACTTAGAAATTTGGGACATGATTTTCATTTTTGTCTGACATTCTAAGCAGAAGCTATAGGAAGTTGTAGCTTAGCTGAAATGCTAAGCTGAAGCTTAGCTGAAATGAAAGATTTCTTAACAAGTATCCATTAGTAGAAGCTGCAAGTTTTAGAATCAATACAAAGGAAGTTCTTTGGTTTAGAAGGAGGAAGTTTCCATTCAAGGTATTAATCTTTATTTCTGTAACCTGGGTATGATCATTCAATTGAGAGCTTCATGACCTTCTAATGCCATGGTGTACACCAATAATAAATAATTAAAAAAATGTAACTTAGTGACTAGTTTATATCATTTATTTTTTTAGATTTTATTTATTTATTTTTAGAGAGAGGGGAAGGGAGGGAGAAAGAGAGGAAGAGAAACATCAATGTGTGGTTGCCTCTCATGTGCCCCCTACTGGGGACCTGGCTGGCAATCCAGGCCTGTGCCCTGACATGGAATCAAATAGGTGTCCCTTTAGTTTGCAGGCTGGCATTCAATCCACTGAACCACAACAGCCAGGGCAGTTCATGTTATTAAATACAGTAATGTTATTACATAGGTTATACATAAAACAAAACAAATTATTTTTGCTGAGTTCCGGACATATCCATCCAGCTGGCTGCTAGACATGCATTCCATCTGGATATGAATTCCTAAAGGCAATGGAAAGTGACCTGTCAAAAACTGAATTCGTTTCTATCCTACACAAATC